CACGATAACAAAGGTTATTGAGTTCTTCCTTTAGGAATACTCAGCGCCCCCCTTGGGTGGTAGAAGGGGCCGTCTCGCTCCCACAATTTCGGCGCTTCGGGCATAGTGGAAGCCCCGTTGCTGCCGTAGTTCGCTTTCCCGCCCCTCGATCGGTGTCACGTTAGACGGGTGTCGAGACAATACAGATTGCTATTATTCGTTCTAGGACCCACGCTCAATCAGCTGCGACGAGGCGATGTTTTTCTCCCATTATTTTTTCCTCTGTTTTTCTTTTTACTGCCGCAATCCCTTATTTAATTTTCTACTCCTAGCGGCTGAAGAAGGTGAGCTACTTTTGCTGTTACTAGGGTTTTTTGTTTATTTACGCTTATAAGTGAATGAAATTTTGCTTACTATGTTATTCGCACCAGGACCCACACGCGCGTAGTGAAACACACTGTTTAACTCGTCCGGACGCCCCACTCTTTTTCATTTTTCTGGTTTCATTCTCGTCCAGCCCCCTTTTTAATGGTTTTTCGGAGCCTTTTTCACTTTGGAAACACCGATGCACGCAGTTTCTTCACCTCAGTCATACTAGTTTCGATCTTGTCTTCCACATTTTATCATGATCTGGGTTACCCAAAATTATCGTGAAATGTGCCTTTAAAGAATACATTCACTCGCACTATTAAGAGATCTGCGAGGCTGGAAACGGGAGGCGGTCAATGGCGCGGGCCGCAGCGCCGCCCATTCGACACGGTTTGTGAGCTGGACAACTCGTCCAGGGGATTCACCCTCCTGAACATGCCTCCTGAACATGCTAATCGGCCGACCCTCTGCCCGTCCAGCTGATATACGCCCGATCGATGACGCTACTACCATCAGACGCCGAACTACGGGCCTACTTGCATTCTATTTGCATCGATTAGCATGGTCAGGAGGTTGAATCACCTGGACGAGTGGTCCAGCTCACCAACCGAGTGTATGTCGTCCAAGCACAATGGAAAAGATAAATAGACGATGAAGAGAGGCAGAATACAAGCAGGTCCGCAATCCCACGTCTAATAGTAGCGGCGCCATCGATCGGGCTCCTGTCAGCTGGAGAAGCTGTGGGTTGCCCGATCACTTGGACGAGTTGTCCATCTTGCCCTGGGCTTCGTGATGGGAGGGATCGCTTCAAACGGCATACCCCCTTGAATCATCATTTCTGCGCGTTAGCGCGGTCTATTTGCACTCTGCCAACCGGTGTCAGAGACGGGGTCCGGTATCTTCTTCCCGAAAACGGCGTCGTGTTCGCCGCACCCGATCGCGCGCCCTGAAAGGAAAGGTTTGAATTCCCATTGCAAGGAGTAGCCGCCGCGTGACCTTTGCCGCTTGCTGTGGAAATTCGGGGAGAGGTTCCGGCACCTTCAGCGACACGGAGCACGAAGGCGAGCTGCTCCTCCCCCTCCCCATCTCCTTTTTCACTTGAGAAACTCATGGTGTATATAGTTGAGAATGAAAAAATATACGAATCCTTCATGACTAAAGGTACAGAAAATTGATTGAGAGTCCGAGCTTGGCTTTTTTTTGACAATGAATCACAAATTCTGAACGATGAACCCAAGTTTTGTCAGTAGAAGTCAAATGCGTGGGCGTATTCCATTATGGGATCAATCGGTGTCACGAAAAAAAAAAACTTTATCTCATACAGTTTAAGTGAAAGGAATCAATACCGTCTGTGTACAAGTCACTCACAACCTCAATAATGGAGATCATGACATTGAGCGTTTTTCCATAGCAACGATGGCCGATGCGAGCTGATATCGGAGTTTTCCAAATTGATCCACGTCGAATTCGAATTTTTCGCCATTCAAGTCGAGTTCAGTGATAACTTCCAAACTTTTCTTCACATGGCTGTTCCCTACCACCACATTCACGCTCCAATCGAATGGGCGCTCTTCATAATGATCCACTTCGAGGCGTTTCGCAACAAATTTTATAAGTTGCTGTTTTACCTAAATTTGAAATATTCACAGATAGGATTCGAAGCGATAAAGTATAAACTTCAAAGAGCAGAGGTAGTCAGTGTGAGGGGAGAAGTCCAAGTACTTTTTGTGATTGAATTTCATAGTTCGATTTAGTAGTTCTGAAGCAGAGAATAGAAGTTTCCAAACATTAATCCCGCTTTGGGATGTATGCATACATTAGAACTACATCCTATAGTTTAATTCAGAATGACTTGCTGGGAGGGATGGCGAAAAGGCTTTAGGTTATAATTTTATTTATTTGGAACCAATTATTGAAACCCCGTAAAGTAAAAGGCTTGCATATGCAAGATTTAATGGAAATTCAATTTGGGAGCCATATGGGTGATAGAGGTACCGCTAGACCATTTAGACTAGACCATGTACAAAGTGGATGGCTCCAATAATATAATATAATATAATATAATATAATATAATATAATATAATATAATAGACCTCTGGGCCGTCACTAGTCTTAGAATATTCATTTGTATTTTACTGCACAGCACATTCGTCGAACCTAAGGTGCGCTTCGAAATATTCCATCAACTCTAAGATTTCTAACGGAAATTAAATATTATGTATACGGTTGCCAGCACTATTGCGGTTGCTGGAGAAACAGAGAAGAGGAAATGCCAATGATCACCAGTCTTGTACAGTTGGTGGCATTTGCCTTTTAAATAAATGGGAAAGTTGTATTTCGCATATCACTCCGTATTTTAGCGACTCTTCCCTTCATATTCGTCATTTTTATTGATGGTACAGGAGTGAATGGTAGTTTTTGCTGGACAACTGAAGATACCAACTGACGGGAGGTCTAAAGAGCATCAGGATGACTCCCAGCACAATAGTTAAACATTGGAGATTTCGGATAAAAAAATCCCATCCCAATCCTCAGAGAAGGGAGCGTTTGGAGGGCTGCATTGGTGCATAACGTAGATGAACGAAGACGTTCTGGAGTTTTCTAGAGGAAATCGATGATCAACGGAATGACAGGTGACAAGTGATAAGGGAGTGTTGCGTTCGTGGTGAGAAATTTCCATCGCTATGCTTGACCCCAGGTTTATGTCAGTTGATCCTAACCATCCCCTAACGTGAAACGCCCAAAACCACCTTGATCGAGGATGGAAACTATTCCTGAGAGTAGCAGGGGAATGCCAAATGGTTACTCTGCTGGGCCGTTTACCAACCACCGTAGCATCGATAACGGTTGAAAATTGACCTTCCAAATGTAAGATCCTACTTCTATCCAATTAGGCATACAGATATCATAAGTTACTTACCTCATTGGGAATATTTGCTTTCTCGATTGGCACTGTGGTGTTGTGCCTGTAGCATTGGGTGAATAAAGTTGCTAGCTCCGACGCGACATAAATGTTGAGAGTCGTCGATTCTATCTGTCTTCTCTCGACCACCAATCGCCACATCACTGGAAAATCCTGTCTATTATTCATTTTCACTGTGAGTTGACTGCAATTCTCAAGTTTTTTTTTACTGCTTAAAAAGTCATACGTTACCTTTAGAAGGCTTTTTGATGAGTGAACAGTCGGTCCTCACAGAAATGTTGTACGTGTCAGCGGGGCTCTACAGGGTTCTGTGGGAATAAGATTTTTCTCAGTGTTGACTTGAAATTTGGTTCCCACAGAACTTGTTGGAAGTTCGGAATCGTAGCCAACTCTAAGAACATTTGCAACTTTCTTTTATTACAAGGTCCTTTCTTTCCCACTTCCTGATAATTGGCTGCTCCCGAGTTCACCGGCGTGCCTTGGTGTTGGTGGCTACGTGTTTACAACACCGGACGTCGATGGATTACGCGCCAGTCGATAACCGGTGAACACTGGAAACAGCCATTGGCACCTTTCATAGTCCACGACCGGTCGCGCGACCAGTCGCGCGATCGGTCGCGCGACCGGTCGCCGGTCGCTCGTGAGATGGATCCGCGACCAAACGCTAGCGACCGGTCGCGCGATCGGTCGCGCGACCGGTCGTGGGCTATGAAAGATGCCATTGGCTGCTTTCATACTTCAACGATTTAACCGACTTCCGTCCGTCCGTCCGTCCATCCGTCGGTCGCGTGCGAGCGACGGCGCGCCAGATAAGTGTTGAGTGCTGACAGCATTGGACGCAGATGTATCACGTGCTAGTGTCGTCAACAAGTGGCTACGCCGCCGCCGCTCGCACGCGAGGGCTGGAAGGACGAATGTTGGCTTGATCGTTGAAGTCTGAAAGCAGCCACTTACTTGCACGATGTTTCTTGGCTGATGCAATCAAAGAAACTGCTGCCTATCTCTAATGACAATAAAAAGCATGTAACCGGGAACGGTCAAGTGAATCAAAGCTCAACATAGGAATCATTTTTTGGTTTTCCTTGGTTTCGAACACGAATCTTAGTTTCTCTCCGGTAACTACTATACAGGATTACTCGTTTGAGTCCATTAAAAGTAATCAACATCGGTGATCAGATCTGTCTAGTTCATCACCACTGCATTCGGATGAAATCAGGAAGTAAAGAACTGTAGAATGCCGCAGGATCTACCAACTCACTTGCTACTTCCTCTTCTGGTGGCATTACTAGCATGCTTGACGACTTTGCTTTTGCCATTTCTCTGACGTTTTTTTCTTATTAAACAACTTCTATATGGATGTCTATGAGATATCAATGCATTTTACATTACTTTCAGATACAAAACAACAATTATGCTATGCATATTTATTACACATTGTTATTTATGATTGTAAAAGAAGCAATGCCTTCAACACCTATCAACACACAAGCTCTTGTTCCGTACGACGATAATCAGGTATCTGCTTTAATAACCTACCCTTTCATTTGATTTCAAAACCAGCAAACTTGTGAGATGATTTGTCAATTCTGTGGTGTCTGAAACGATTTTTATTACAGACTCCACTGAAAAGATTCTCAGCTCGGGAGAAATCTGTGACGATAGGCTCATTCGTATTCCACCTGCATCAAAACTGGAACGAAAACGGCGTAGCCGGTGTCTTATGGGACTCGGTTGGTTTACTTGGAAGCTAGTAAACTTGTTATTGATATTGTTCTAAGCAACTCACCATTACTTCTTCCACTTTCTTACTTGTCATTTCTAGCTTTCCTTGTGTTTTCCACAAAGCAAAGCCTGCATTCGCAATCATATCTAAAGCTGTGAAACTCTTGATGTAATGCAGCATTCATTCCAAATACACGATGTCGTCCTTGTACGGATCTGTGTCTTTTTAAGGCAATTGTACTCTCGGATTACCTCGTCGCCCATACGGGACTTGTTCGCGGCCGTCGGGTTCTGGAACTTGGCGCCGGTGTTGGCCTTCCATCCATCACTGCTGCCAAGCTCTCAGCCAAGGAAGTAACGGCTACGGATCAGCCTTCAGCCTTACCATTACTTGATGAAAACCTCATTGCTAACCTTGATGATAATGAAATGTCGACTGTTACTACCCTCCCATTGGACTGGACAAATCTACCTGAAGAGCCACTGTCAGCAGACGTCATTCTTGGAGCTGACCTGGTTTACAAAAAGGAAGTCTTNATGCTGTTGGCAGGCAAAATCCGTTATCCCAAGGATAAACGTTTCTACGAAACTTTAGGAAATGATTTCGATGTCACCCAGATACTTCACGATGAGGCTACTGATGTGGTTCTGTTCAAAATTTCAAAAATTAGGAGAGAATTGTGAGTTAGACGACGTTGCTACTTCATAACTATTTGTTACTCAATCTGTATTAGGATTGAAAAAGCTCATGACGTAATCGTGTCCAAGGTGACTCTACCTCCTTGGTAATTCTCTCTTTCTTAGCAGCTCTATTTTCGTATCAAGCTAACTATGTGCATATCAAATTATAAAAAAAGCTTTCGAGCTCGGGTCATAGATCTACCCTCAAACTACATAACGGCCTCACTGTATCGCTTCATTATGGTGCTCAGCAGTTTCCTGACGGGGAAAGTGGACCCATAGAATACATATCTTTCAAAATAAGCTTGATGTATCACAAAGAAAAAAAAAGAATTGAAAGTTCAACAGTGGCGAACCCAGATGCCATTCACCTGAAACACGGGACAAACGGGTGTTTTTTGATATAGGGCCTATCTAAGACTCTTTGACAAAAAATGCTATTTATCTTCACCGCGGAAATTGATGGGCACTTTTGAATTCAGCTCTGAGTTGAAGTATTCCAACTTTCCGAATGTTGAAGATTTGATTGTTTGTCAGAAAACTTTCCTGGAGGTTCTCGAAGAATTTCCATCACGCGCATTGGGGTTGACTTTTCCAGCGATGTTCATTACTCAAGTTATGACTTTCTTTGGCTAGTCTTTTTGGTGTAGGTTAATTAAATCATTTTAACTTATGGTTCATTGGTAAACTTCCTACAATGAATCAGCCTCCCCATGGTTAGCAACGAAAGTCGGTTTACTTTTGCGTTTTTATTGTTTAGTGATTGTTATCTTTTCACATGTTTTTACGTTATCATTCCCCTTCTTGTTTGTTGTTTTCTTTTGAATTCTACAGGTTTGTCGCCACTATTATCTCTGTTATTCAATGATCAAGAAAAATGAAGAGCACTTTAATTGCAGAAATTTTTCTTCCTTAGAATTCAAAGCACTAGCATGCAAACCACACTAAAATAGTAAACAGATACACAAAAAATGAAGAACAGTTGCTCCTAATATACCTTAACGGCGCATAATTTCACTCAAAAAGGCTGAAAAGCCTGAAAGGACAGCACTATGTTGAGGGAAAGCTTCTACTCTGATTATATTCTTGATAATATGATTCCTAGCTTGTTCATTCGTCAAGCTGCGTAAAGCTAATGCTGTTGTATCTAGCGAAATAAAGCGAAAAAAATGAAAACAATGTAGGTATGACAACAACAATCGGCCACTATTGAGACCAATCAGAAGGAAAGAGGGAAAGGCTTACAGTGAGAGGCACCTAGCAATTGCTCTTCTATTTATGCAGAAATTTTGAAGAAAGATTTCGCCACATGCACTGTTCCAGTACCAGTGGAAGGTAATGTATGCACTGATGTTTCCGATTTCGAAGAACAACTCTTCTCATTGCCAGCGTTCACTGGTGTATTAGAGCTATATTCAATGGGCATAAGCGGGCGGTTGCTCTCACAATTGGGTCCGTTATGGTCAATCTCGTCCAATGAAACGCGAATCGGCAAGAGTACTGGCTTAGTTCGCATTATTACATGTCGGAATCAACCCATAAGAAATAATGGATCAGAAAAGGGAAACCACTTGAAGACATTGCCTTCGTAGGATAGTCAAAGTTCATCTAATTCTTTTCGATTGCTGGGTCGGTCTACCTGTATGCATAACAAGCATAGCCACTCGATCGGCACTCACCGGTTGTATCGCCATGTTCTTCACTTGCCCAGTGCAACACGATTCTCTGAATTTGTTCCTATCAAAGTCCTCTTCTCGAGTCGCGTTTTGCCTGAGTGGTTCCACAGCTACAATATGTTATAGTATGTTGATGTACCCTAGATCTCGGATTACAATCTCAAGTTAAAAGAAGAGAAAGAAAAGGAAGCATTCCAAATGGGATCTCTTCCCTCTAGCCTGACTCTGCTTCAAAAATGAACAGAATATCAATTATGCTCACCCATCGGTAAGAAAGAACAACTATTTATGTGGAATGCTTGAAGGAATACAAGTTGAGTCACCTAGGAGCCTTAGCTGTCTCAAGCCCCTTTTCTTATGAGTTATGGTGCATACTCGCAGCCGTTATTGTTAGCCGCTCGGCTCCCAATAGGAAAACCATTAGCGCTCAATGCCAGTCCACATTCGGAAATGCGGCAATCAACTATAAATCTTCCATCCAAATCACCCTTTAGCGCATGCTCCGTTCTTGGTAATACGGTTACCTTCCAAAGATACCAGACATGAAAAGAAGCTCTGCTGAAAGGCCTTCTTGTAGGCTATAAAAGGAACGAAAGGATATAACCTATTGGTACGGCAAAAAGTATTTTCAGAGAAAGAGCCTCATAAAGAGATCTTTCGGTAAGACTTCTCGTAAATAAGGAAAGCGAAAGTGACCATTAACCTTTTAGAAGGAAAAAAAAACTACCTCAAATGCCTTAGTTGTTCACAAACTCATCAAAATCCGTCTCGAGTAACTTTCTCCAATAAGGCTATTGCTGAAGAGAGTTCGAACGATCGCATGAATAAATCACAGGTCTCACACTTCCCTGTTGTGCATTTGCAATGTGAACTAAATTGTTTCAAGCATTCGGCATCCGTGATGCATTTTGACGGAGTATTATGACGGGGACACACATAGCACATGGCCTGTGAGCCTTGGCTACGATCAGAAATTACCATCTCGAGCAGGCGACGCAACCTCGGCATGTTTAGTCGAGCATCGGCGCCGAGCACGAACTGCAAAGATGGAGCTTTTGAAGATGATTCAAATCTCAAAGTATTCAATGGAGATTTTCAGATACACTTTCCTCTTCATACAACTCCCCTTCTACGAAGTTTTCAAATAAAATAAGTTTCATCATTTAAGGTGACTTGAAAAGGCTTAAAAGTCTGGAGATTGATGTTCCGAGGTGGGTTGATCTTTTTCCTCAAATGAAGTCTTCAAGATGCCTACGGTGTTCAAATAAACAATTGTTGAGCAGTCAAACGTCATTCTATAAAGGGGNGTGTTCGCAAACAACTAAAAATTTTTCCGCGAAAAAACAAGGACCACGCCTAAGTCTTCACACCTATTGGGAAGGTCGAATAAAAGCATCACCTTGGTGTCAACAGAGGGAAGCTTTTTTTCTATCTCCGCGATTGGACACCGGCGAATTTCGAAAATGTGCCAAAAAAAATTTCAGTGCCTTTTTTTCTTCTGTTGTTATTCTTCTGACCAATAGATGCCCGCCCACCTGCTCTTGTTCTGCCATCTCTCGCTTTGAAAACAGATTCGCTAAGTGACCTATTTCGTCCTTGACCAATTTTAGATGATGACGAAGAAATTTGTAAACCAGGAAGATATTGGACGCATTAAGCCAATTATGATTAATTGATATAGCGTCTTCCTGAATCATAGCTTATAATAGCACCAACTTGTAAATGAAGTAATTCAGACAACGCGAAAAAACAAGAAGCGTATTAGCATAAGCATAAACTCACCAGATTGTGTACTTGATGATACCAATTCGTTGGCACGAAAACGATCTCACCTGGTTGTTGAACCAAGACCATCACATCAGCCTGAACAGCAGCTGAACATGTATTTGGACCTGCTGGTAGGTTTATGGTTTCATTAATTGCATTTTTCTATTATGGACACCAATGGTGGTCATCTTAATTTTCACCAATTTCCTTTTAACTATCCTAGATTCATCCATTCCATCTATGGTTGACACCATTTCGAAAAATATCGAATTTCGAAGTGCCCAAAAAAGGCGGTTTAGTCGATTTTATAAGTAATCAGCTACATAAATGACGAAAATGATGTAAAAAAAAACAATAAAGAACGATAGGTTAGATTGCTCGGCGTTGATTAGACTCTTTGAACTACATTAGACTTTATGTAGTCAGCAGGTGATTAGTATCTGTAATAAAAATTCATCCAGAAATCAACAGGCTGAAGATATGAAGTGATTTTATGGCTTCCCACTTGCCAGAAAAGACTGACGCTATAGTCAATGCAAAAGAAAAAGTTTTTCGGCCATAAATAAGCAGCCCGAAATGCGATCCAGAAGCCGCGAACGCTCTAGCGGCGCCATTTGTCACTGTCACGTCTCCTTTTATATTAGAAAGGTAACGAAAAAAACTGACCACGAATAAAAAAGTACACTGTACCTCTTTCCACAAATCCTGATACGGTCTGATGTCTTCGACGAGCTTTTTATTCTGCATGAAAACATTCTCTTTACCAGGAGGAACGAAATACCATAATTTACGTCCACAGATATTAGCTGACCAGCTATGGGATGCCATTACATCCGAGTGGAATTTAGTCCTGAACTCGTAATAATGTCTAATGACTTAAGATGGACTCAAAAGGATTGATGAAGATTCCGAGCCAGCAGAAAAGAGGAGATGTTCCAAAAAGTGATGAACTAAGGCATTTTAAGTGTCCTTCAATCAAGACTAGCGCCCCAAAAAGGATACTGGTAATTTACCAGGAATCTTTAACACCAAAGTAGACGAATCGGTAGTCACCGCGAAAAGGATTTTCTTCGTCATCGGTCCACTCCTCACGATTCACCCAATCACTCGACAACACCGCCGGCACGTTGTACATGTTGATACCGCATCTTAAAAGAATAGGCAGAAATTTCAGCTCTATGAAACGAAAGACTTGAAAAAGATAGCAAAGAAGAGTGATAGGAAAGAAGTCATCAACAGAATAGTGATGTCCACTTTCTAGCAGACTATGGGTGAGCGCACGCAACCTTAGCGCTTTATGAAGTGTGGATAAAGTTTAGGAACAACGACTAGAAAAGCTGTCAGTAAGACTACCGCAAGCGAAAAGCCCAACCAGCGGAAGAAAGCTAGAAGCAACCTTTTCTGGAAGTGCCAGTCTTTCAAGTATCGAGTTTTCGAGTCACCAGCCATGCAAAGATTCTCGCAGTAATCGCAGTATTCCGAAAGAGACATTTCTAGCAGGTTATCTCGGTCCTCCTCAATCACAGGAACCATTTCGTTACCTAAACAGAAGATCTGTGAAACATACACGACCGCTGTCGGCTGTTTCGAACACTTCTGAATCACAAACACACACAAGGGTAAAAAAAGTAGTCTCCTCGTAAATCGAAGATAAGGGTTAGAAAATTTATAAAACACAGTTTGACAACATAACCCTCTCAGATATAGCGAAGTGTAGACAGTTGTAGCTCTCGTTGTGAACTGTAAACAGTGGATTTGAGAGTATACCGATTTTGACTTCGCAGTTCAAAAGGAAGTGGTAGAAGCTTTACATGGACTCCTCAAATTGAAGCTTCTTCATTTGGAGAGTCCATGTAGACAGACTTAAACCAAGTTTAAATTACGTGAGATGTCTACAAAGCCTGTCAGCAGACTTTATCCAGTTTCAGAGCTGTATCTTCTATGAATGGCGTAAGGGCTCTTGTGCATGTTCATCAGAGTCCCCCTCCCCTCCCCTTCCTATTCTGAAAAGGAAGTACCAGCAAATCGAGTTTCATGCGGATAGTCGTTATCAGGCCTGCAGAGAACTGCTTTGAAAGTGCGACTCAGTGCACTTTCTTTCAGAGTGGAATATGTGCCTTTCATAAGAGATTCGCAATTTTTAGAATTTATCAGAAGGAAGGACCACATTTCTTAATGACTTATCGGTGTTTAAGAGAAAATGCAAAGACAACCCTGAAATGAACAGCAACAGATAATCTATTTACCGTAATTTTTGCGAAGATATTCTAAATTTGGCGTGCCATCTTCGCGGACCCATAATTGACGCGATGGCCACTCTGCTGTGAATTCCTCCGATAAAACGCAGGGCTCATTACGGAGGCAGAAGTTGGCGAACGTTTCCAGCCATGGTGTATCACCTAGGCTGATCCGAGGAATTCTTCCATCATCTACCATGGTCGAGAAGCAGAGTATCAAATCTCTAAACTAGTTATATTGAAACCAGTTGACTTGATAGAATCCATTGTACTTCATCTGTTCAGGAAATGAAGGTGCTTAACGAAACCTTCATTGCTCTGGCTCACCTTTCTAGCTTTTCACTCTCTTTAAAAGCAGGTCATTCCACTAGTGGTATGGAGCCAAGGCAGACACTGCTAATTGCCGCTGTCAGCAGTGATTAATGATGAGACAAAGGGAACGTGAGCTAATGGTGCAACCGTCAGAGATGTTTTTAGCCTCTGAAGATGAGAAAGTAGCTCGAAAAGTAGAGCTCAGAAAAAGAGGATTTCAAAAAGCAACGTTTTGCGACAACGAAACGGAATTCAAAACGAAAGAAAAGAAATAACCGGGGAAGGTAAAAGGAAGCACATAAATTAATGGTATAAATGAAAGATATTTCAATTTTGTGCAAAGTACGATGAAATGCTCAAAGGTCCTGCATAGTAGAAGGTCTAGGAAAGGCGCGTGAGGCATCAGCTTTGGCAGGACAGATTGGAAAAAATTTGTTAATTTGTCAATCAGTCGTTCACATTTTGTTATTCGGCAAAGCCGAATAGGAAAATGTGAACGACTGATGAAGTGGGGAGAGGATATGCCTCTTCCACCAAGAAACTACCTGGAAATAAGAACCTGAAGCGAAAGATTCTGAATGCGAAACCAAGCGTGCTAACCTACATCTCACGTATGTCTAAATAAAAAGCGAACTACAGTTACTTAGGGTTTCGTCAATGGCATTGAAAATGGACTCCACTAGTCTGAGATTTAGGCATCTGAAAGTGCTGCACACTTAAGGAAAAGCGTTTGATAGATGCGATGGGCGTGCGCGATATGTATCACATTCCCTAGGCCTCCGCGTATGCATATGAGAAAAACCAACGTCTGCTGACATAAGTGCAATCGCATTATCCCCAATTCGTCTTCATCCTAATAAATCTATTCTGGCTTGCTTGCTCGGTTATGACAAGGATATCTGCGCATTCTACACATAGCTTATGTAAATTGCAGAAAGTTAAAGGAATATTTATTCATGGTCAAAGAAGGAGTTCATAAGAATGAACAATGCACTAAATTGCTCCATATGCATGCATAATCAGGTTACACCGGAATTATCTCAATCACAAAATATGTATATGTGAATTCCATTCACGACGGAAAACAATCGGAATCAACCCATAATCTTAGCAAAGATATCACCACGAAAGCACCGCAAAACTCTACACATCAATCTAATCGCTGCAAACCGACCTTTTAAAAACCTTGACACGAGGAAATCTCGATTTGAGAAGATATGGCCACAAATATTGACACGCTCGAAGCGGGAATAAAATATACGTTGCACAAAATGGAAATGCTGTAGAGTAACACTAAAGCTTGAGTCACAACAGATCTGGATATTCATCATCGCCTTCTGTGTCTGCTTCATCGGTAAAACACCGAAATTTCGACGAATCCCATGTCAACTTTAGCTCTTCATCGGTATCGGCACGAGTAATGACTATCGGCGAGACTTCATTCTGCAAAATTCATTTGACTCATTCACTCGCTTTGAGGGAGAACAACCTAGCAAAATCTGCCCAAGCTTACATCCATTGGACTTTTACAGGGAAATTCCCTATGGGTGGTCATTTTTGTTTATTTGTCGTACTAAATTGATACGGATTGCTTTCAGTTTTCTACATAGTGTAATGTATATTTCAATTATGCCTCACGACAGAGGGTAAACAAATGAACAAATCAAGCCTAATCACAAATTGCGAAATTTGACAGAGATTATCAGAGATGTTGCTGTTCAACTAAGAATTGCGTGAATAACCTTCTATGAAGACCTCCAATCAAACACTTGCTCTAACCTTATGCGGAATTCCACGCAACAACTCTGCCGCTTCATACTCATCGGAGTGCCTGTAGTACACCAATGAGATCTTCCTCCGACCATCTAACCACTGCTGAAAAAATTTTGCGTGCAGAACTGCTGCTAAATGAGTGCTTTCAGACTTCAACAACCACTAGACTGACTGACCGACGGCGATCACTGGTCACGTGGGACAATACTTGCCAGTTGAACGCAACCTGTTCGGTGTTGTCACCACGTAGCCATCGGTCGATGGGTCAGTCGTTGAAGTCTATGTCTAAAAGCAGCCACTGAATGAGAACTAACATGTATGAGTTTTCGTGTCCCTTGAACAGTTATATTAGTTATCCCGAACAGTTCTATGGAATCCGCATCGAGAGAAAGAAGATCCTCGTCGTTGATATCCAACAGATCACGTCCATCTTCATTTGAGGCTCGCACAGTAACAGACCATGCCTAAAAACGAATGCTATGAGGTTTTATGTCGAACAACTGAATTAACGAGGAACAGGGAAAAGTGACCTTTCGAAACACCTGACTTTTGAAAGGAAGGTTTTGAAAGAAGTGACAGTCGCGCATCACTATGTCAATTGTCTCGGCTCCTGAAAAGGCTCTACGATAAGTTTCTGTCAGAGGTAGAAAATGTACTGAATTAGATAATACGGAATGGTAGTAAGAGACCTGTAGCATCAATGGCCGACACCATTTCCTGAGATATCGTGCGATTCACAACCAACTGTAGATGACTAACTTTAGACTTGGATTTGCGCAAAACGCGGGTAACGACTTCCATATCATTGTTGTCGAGATCAACCTGAGCTTTTGTTTTATTCGCTTCCAAATCCTTATGGTAGATTAATTACTGTAAATGTATAGAAGAATATGACTATGCTAAAGGGTGTTCACCCTACCAACTTGAAACACAGAACGTTGGCTCTTAGAAGAACAAAACTGAGGTGTTCCTCGAGTGCTGTACTTATAGATGGAACATCGAACTCGGTAGATTTGTTCGCTTTATCCCATTTCAATCCACAGAAACCTATGAGTGCACTTATTGAACATATATCTAAAATAAGAGCCGCAAAAAAGCGAAAATATGTTTACCCTCATTGTTGTAGAAGTCGGTAATATCACCGGATTTTTTGGTAGCAGCGGTAGTTTTGTTGAAAATACATGACCAGTTTTTCTTAGGACTTTTAAATGAATTTCTCGAAACAGAAAGTTTGAATCGAGACGCCTGCAACGACCAGTAATAGCAATAAGATTCGAAATGTACGAATTCAAAAGTTTAGAGAGTGAGAAAAACCCTTAAGGTCCTGAACTTACTCCTTCTCTGTCAAGCGATATGTTTGTTATCCACATCCGAGGTACAGAGTGAAGATTCGCGTTGATAATACCCCGCGTCTTCCTATTCAGCATAAGACAATTACACATGTCACCGTAACTCAGACGCGAAATAATCGCTAACACCAGTTCAGGAGGGAGATCGTTGAAATCAATGACCATTGCCTAAACGAACACGCTCATATGACCAGCGATAAACATTACCCATGTTTACATATTTATCGATTGCACCATTCAAAAAGAAAGATGAAATTAATTCAACAAAGAAGTCACGGGCTAAGACGTAAACACGACTTATTTTACCGGCATCTAGAAAATATTCCCTGGAGCCGCATAAACAAGTGTGAGAAAACGAGTCTCATGTAAACAAAACACGACGCTATTGTAAACCACACAGGGTATGCACTATGAATGAAATTATAAGTAACCGTTGAGCTTGTACGTATTTCCTCCTTTTGACGTATAATAACGAATACGATCTGCAGTACATTACGCAATAATGCGACCAGGTCTGCGGGCGGTTGCGCTTGGCGCTTGTGTGGACACAAACAACCTTCACTTGCCCAAACTACTGGAGCAACCTTGGCTTGTTCCTCGACTTCTTCTGTTACCTTCCTTCACATATTCTCCTTTATTTAGCCGTCCCTTCCTATGCTGAGCAGTTCTTTTGCTTACGGTGGCTCCTTATTGTGAACGTAGTTCGCAGCAGCAGCACCACAATTGGCAACTAGACTTGTCCAAAGTGTTACTTCATTGACCAAAAACTCCCTTAGGAATTATGAGTTACATGTTTTTAATGTTTTCAGTGAATGGTGACCATTGTGTTGGGACAATATCCTCAAATAAGCACCTTTGTTTACATCATTGAAAACTTTCCAAGAGTCCTCTTTCGGCGAGCGGTTGCGTTGCGGCCTGGAAGGCTGTGTGTGGCTGCCTCAGAGTTCAACGACGTGCCCATCGGCTGCTTTCAGACCTCAACGATCCATCCGTCCGTCCGTCCGTCCGTCCGTCCGTTCAACGCGTACGTGACGCCGGTCGCGTGCAGGCTGCGACGGCGGCGCCTGACCGTTGTTGACAACACCAGATCACGTGCCAGCGCTGTCAACACTGCTCTAGCGCGCAAGCAACCGCCGCCGCGCACGCGTTGAACGCACTGACGGACGGTCGTTGAAGTCCGAAAGCGGCCATCGACCGACCGAGTGACGGATCAGCGGCACAGCACTAGTCACGTGTTGACAACATTGGACGTCGATGGATCACGCGCCAGTGTTGTCAACGAGTGGCTAGCGCCGCCGTCGGTCGGTGGAAATGACGATCGGTTGGTCGGTTGTCACGGTTTCTTCGAAACACCGAATCTGAAAAGAAATCGAACAGCAGCTTTCTCACTTCAACGACACAACCGACGTCTGTCCGTAAGTATGTGCGTCCGACCGACCGAAGGTATTGCTGGCTATGTGCTGACAACACTGGGTCGATGGATCACATGCCAGCGTCGTCAATAAGACACGTAGTGTTGTCACCACGTGGCTAGCGCCATCGTCGGTCGGTCGGTGGCACGTCGATGAAATGTGAAAGCAGCCTGTCTGACAACGTTGCGCTTTCAACGTTGTTAAACTCTGAAAGCGCCTAATGGTGTTTGGAAACAATTCGGATATGGGAATATAGCTTTGAGTAAGCCACAAAGACAAAAACGGGAATTCGGTACGGCACGTTGGTCTTACACAACCGTAAATTATTATGAAATGCACTGGACGCAGACTTTCGCAGGATTACTGTAAGACTAGCGTACGGTAATCCCGGCCGTGGGTAGCCATCGTACCGACTGTGGGAAGACTAGCGTACGGTAGTGCCGGCGATGCGTCCCGGCTCGAACGAACGACTGCTGTAGTAAACCTTCCTTTTTGTGCCGCAGAAGGATAGGAGCACCGGACGGGTGAGATGAATACTTAACGCACAAAGTTGGGTGTGCTAAGCTTTGAACATCCTGTTGATGCACTCATTGTAGTGTTAGAGGCTGAGGTAAAGAGCCATATTTTCCTGGCTAAGAATCGTTCCCCGCTTCTAGGGTAGGTAGAGTCGGGTTTCCCTCCTCAGCGCTCTAGCCCTAATGTTAGAAACAAAAGTTGGTTATCAACTGACAGCATGATTGTCAATTGACGTTGTGAACCTCTTGGTGACGACCAGTGGGTGCTTTCAGAGTTCAACGACGCAACCGACGACCGTGCGTCTTACCGACAGGGGCGCTGGCCACTTTTTGGCAACACTGGCATGTGATTCAGCGGCATCTTATGTTGTCAACACGTAGTCAGGAATACCGTCTGTCGGACGCAGAGACGGACGGTCGTCGGTTGCGTCGTTAAGTCTGAAAGTAGCCAATAGGTGCAACAAGCATTGTTTCAACCGATCGATCGACCGACAGGCGGCGTTGATGGACACGTGTTGACAACACAGCAGAGATTGGCCGCGTGAGCGGTATCGATCGTTATTCGCGTTGTCAACATGTGGCCAACAACGCCGTCAGTCGGTCGGTTGGTTGCTTGAAACAGTGCACTTTATCGAACTCTGAAAGCACTCAATGCCGCACGGCCGTTCCTTCATTTTGAAATTGAAGTGTTTGAGTGCTAGTCTGTACTGCTTCCTCCCTCCGTTTTTACACCAGTTTTTGCGTCCGTCTTTGGTTTTTCTGCACCACTTTTTTCTGTTTTCAAATTCCCTTTTCACCGTTCCTCTGCTCAGAGATTGTGAGTTTGTATCTCAACTTCTTTTTTCTTGAGTTATTGATTCCTTCACATTCCTTTCTGAAGTAATTTCTGTTTGCAGCCGTGTCGAGCGAGTGTAGTCATAATTATCAGAGCTCCGTTTAAACCCCTGCAAAAGAAAATTGGCTGATGAGTCTTTCAGCGCTTTCCATCTTTGTGAACATGATTCTACGGCCAAATCTGTCTAGTTGTAGGTGCGATCGTACCGCTCAGTGGAACAGTTTACTGACACGCTCATATTCGTAAATAAATCCAATCGCTTATCGAGCCTGGAAGAGGTTGCGAGCCTGGAAGGGGTTGGGCCCATAGCTGAAGACCGGGTAAGGCGAGGAAAACATAGAGGCGACAGTCCGGGCGTTCGTGGCGATCGAGCTTCCTGCTCTCCCATGTTGTCGTTCGCGAGCCTTAAATACGGCGCATCAGAAGAATCAGCTACCGTAACCTGACACGCTCTCTGCCTTCCCATCTTTATTCAAGTTATAGTCGCCCCTCCAGGAATCAGTGTTGAATGAATAATAGAGAGTTAATTTGAATCTCCTGCACCCTTGCTCTCCTACACTCTGTCACCTCTGACAGTCTGTAGAAGTCAAAAAAAAANAAAAAAAAAACAGAGTTTATTCTGTTATTATGATGCAATGGGTTCATCTAGTATTTCAGCTTTCAATCTTAAATTAACAAGATTCCTTTGTGATAAGGGGAAAGAGTTGTTACATGTAACATCAGCACTTGCTTATAGGCACAGTTCACGATAAAAATCGTTTCCGAGATTCCCCTACAGGCTGAATTTGAGGCTTCCGCATACACCATATCTGGCACTATTAGGTAGGAAAATGGCCTAGTTAGGGAGTTATAAACGCGCAAAGGTTGGCCCGTGTGTACCCTCGGACGAGTTTCACCCACATTGTAGAGGCTGCACCGATCACAAGGGAAGCCGCGTAGGAAGTTCAAAGAACTTGTCATGACCCATAGCGACAGTGAAAGACAGTTTTGTACAGTTCTGGCTTGATGTAGTCAGCTCTTTGTGCACTTGCAATAACTGGAATCTCGTTCGAATGCCCCTTCCATGTTACTTGCGCCATGGAAATCTCGTCCATGCCATAATTTCCCGAAATCGGCGAATTCTCTAGCATTTTTGGGCCACAGTAGTGCCATCAGCGCTCCACAGCACTTGATAATGTCGCTACGTTGTTTGAACTGCATTGCTTCACAACTCGAGATTTATATAATGAAATTCGTAATTTTCATAACTTAACTCTTCTACATGCCACTTCTTCTGAATATTTCGAATTCCTATGTGCAAGCACTATTTCAGATGTCAGATACGGACACTGTGTGGTGTTCGGTTTGTGGTAATGCTGTGTCATCATTTGCCAACTATTTAAAACACTTACGTCGAAATCACGATGCTGAGGGAGCCAAAATCGCTACAGAGCTTGTAAAAGAAAGAAGGAATACAGCCTGTGCCTTGAAGCCGTACAAATGCCCCTTTTGTGAAATCAGGGGTGTGTCAAAACCAGCTTTGAAAAGGCACATTTACAGGTGAGCTGTTTAACTTCGGCTTTGTGTTGTTGGGTTTTGAAAGAAGAAGTTTTTGAGGTACCATAGAAAACATTTCGATCCACGTCGGAACTCCATCGTCCACGCATATAAGGTAAATGAAGGTTTTTAAAAATGCAGGTTTCTGCATTATTCAAAAACAAAGCACTGTATGACGACCCATAGCTCCAACAGAAATTGAAGCCGTGTTTTTGCTCTGTTGTGATTAGGGAGACCAGGTCGTGCAATGTAGGCTAAAAATTGGAGTGTTGCATGAAAGTATGTGCGAGGATTAAGTAGTATAGTAGTGATGAGAGGTTCTTCCATTTTGACAGTCTGTTAATGTCTGGTATTCTAAAGCAGCAATATGAAATCCACACACTAGCCTAACAGATTGACACAGTTCACAGTACCTGGAGGGTCTCAAAAGTACACTCTATGAAAAAACGGAGAAAACAGAAGAAGGTGGGAAAAATTAATGAAGGGATTCATACCAAGAAGAAAAAAAGATTCCATTCATAATCTCCATATGCTCAATGCAATGAATTGCCAGGCTCGATGGAACCAGCCAATGTTTAAGCCTGTACTCTTACCACCCAAACGCGTCTGGTACGAATTAACCGATTTCTGAGGGTTGGAATGTGTAGTTGTCGTCCTGAGATTTGATACCCTGTCTAGGCAAGTAAGGGCACTCCGGGTCCGGGAACTTCTCCCCTAACACGGCGTCGCACACGCCGCACCCGCCGCCTATCGCAGGATTGCGATGGAAGATTGGAGCGCGCAATTTGTGAGGTAGGGAGTCCCTCAATTATTTGAATTGGCTGGCCGCTCTTTTCAATTCCAATGCAGTTTTGATCGTCGTTTATATAGGAGGAGTCATTTTAATTAATGAATTCTAACAAACATGAAAATTAAAAAGAAACAGAAGAAAAAACGATAAAATCCAATGAAAAAGCAAGCCAGTAAAGGAAAAATATCGCGTCCTATCGATTGGCGGGAGGCGGGGTGAGTACGGTAATTGCAGTGATATTTGCCGCATGCCGCAAGGGAGAATGCCGCGATAGGGGAGAAGTTCCGTTACCCGGGCACTCCACTTGACAGAGCCACCATTCCGCACGACAGAATGAGAATGTACTTCGAAACCTAGGAGATTTCCTGTTAGCAAACACTTCCATTGAAAGTATTCTGAAGCCTTTTTACTTTGGAAAAAAACTTGGTCGGCATTTGACTGCTCTTTTCTTATTTAAACTTGGGTCAACTACTGAAATCTCCATAATGTAACGGTCATGTCAAGTCGTCAAGGGTGATTACACAGTCCAGCTAAGGGATGTACCTGCTTGAAACTGTCCTGCCCACCTAGATTTCGGTGGTGAATTGGAGATGAGTGGAAAACTCGTGTGGCACACTGTCTCGCTAGCTAAAGGACTTGACGAAGCCCGCTGAGAATGAAAATACCGTTGATATTCAATAATACGATAAACGGAACAGCGGTAGCACGTGACTCCCAAAGTCAAGGTAGCAAAAGAGTTTCCCTCTTATCAGTACTATGTATGCAGTGAACCTTCCCAGCAGGTTCACTGCACTGATAGAAACAGGTGCCTGTGAAAGGCACGTAACACACTAGGGAAAAGACTGGGCAGCTGCCAGGAGGCAGACTGGCGGTTATGACATTTACAATATAAGAACAAGCCAAAACATTTAAACGAACCGGAAAAACACAAGCCTGACGTGCAAAGCACGGTGTTCATATCTAAAAGCCAAGGCCAATGGTGAAGAGAGGGAATGGTACACAGAAAGGGTGTATTTTTTTCCTCGAAAAGGTCTGTGAATCACTAAGGATTACAGTAAGTTCCCCTCTGGTAAACTCATGGTCTAGCTAGATCAATCCGAGATCTCTCTCATACAGGTCAAAAACTACTTTTTTTAGTTAAGTTACTTGTATCAAACTTAATGAGGAGGACAATTCTACTGACTCTTATTCATCGGCAGATATCCACTAACAGTATCAGGCCAACCACACATTCGGATGTCTTCACGACTTTCACGACTCTGCATTGCTCAGAAATGAATATTCAAATCTGAGCTAACTTTCTGTGTTTTCTATAGAAGGATTCCAATTTTAGCTGAAGCCAATATATCTGCACAGCTCTCATCGCTTATTCGGATCCTTGTATATAAAACAAGCTTTCGTATCATCTCCTTTCAAAGGCGCAGTTCCCGATAATTCTGGGGTATCTAATTTCAAACTGATATCGAAGTTCAGAAGCCTTATCTCTTACTATATAAACTACAAATGTCCGTTTGTCGCTTTGTCTGTTTTTCTGTTTGTCTGTTTTTTCTGTAACTATCTTATATGGCGCCCTTTGGAAACCTGATGAAACAGCTCAGACAGGTTGGAACGGGTGGGGAATGAGCCGAACTCCTCGGGTGCACGTTACTCAAGCTAGGCTCCGCCCATTACGGGCGGGGCGTGCGCGGAAAGTGTACTTCGCCGGAAATCTGTAACTCATGTTCTCCTGGGCCTAGAGTCCTCACGANNNCCCCCCCCCCCCCCCCCCTGCCCAGAGCTGGGCTGAGAGGTGGGAGAAGGGCTTCCACCAAATAGTTGATTTTTTGCGCGAAAATAGTTAGTTTGAACCTGGACCGTTCAAATTTGGCAGAAATGTAGGCGGCAAGATGGGAAAGCTAATGGTGAGTGGTGAGTGACAAGTGTAGATTCCGCCCATTGGAGGCGGGGTTTGCGCAAAGAGTGTTAATTCGTACCTGCCCAACATGATTTTTGCGTAAAATTTCATCAAACAATATCATGGCCAACGAGATCGTCGATTGGTATGCTATTTAATGGCTACTTCGATGGGTGCGAATAAATGATCGAAGTGCAAATGAACTCCCATTTTAACTTCAGTGAAGTGCAGGTATTCGACAATGGTAAGGGGTAGACAAGAGACCTAATGACTTAGGTTCCTTTCTTGATTTTTCGCATTATCTCTGTTAATATATGGAGAAACGGATGTAAATGGATGCCAAATGCAGTTTGCTAGAAAAGTGCGCTCTCGATAGACTGTTTATGACGTTAGTAGTTGGGGGGAGAATGGTACTCTCCATTTTCTTGGAGAAAGTATCGTGTGCAGGCCAGCTGATAGTGCAAATAAGGCGGAGAAAAGCCAAATCGGAGTGTTCGAAGAATTATAAGGCTTTATAAAAGTACTTAATTAGGGGTTGGGCGAAAATGTGACCACAGAAGTTGCTTAGAAGGGGTATTTGAACGAGCTGTCAATATGCGTGTGCTATTGCTAACAGCTGTCTACAATAAACTGTCTGCGTGCAACGTGTGGGTTCCGGTACAAATGGTATATCCTCTACAGCCTTTATAGCACCGTGACGACTCGTCCGTATTGGGCGTGTGCGTCGACTAAACTGGTTTTAGGATTATCCATACTGCCGTTTTTTTGTGCTACCCTCGGCGGTCATGGGTTTCTTAAGGAGAGAAATCGCAGAAATAATAATCTGTGCCTTTGAGCTAATCTTTACGAAAGTACGTCTGCGCCAGAACATATGTCCAAACACATTCCTCTAACTTGAATTAATCCTTCTTTCTACAGAGCCCTTGGTCATTCTTCTACTACTGTTTCTTTTGCCCTTATTTTTTCGCCAGCAGCAAAATTGTTCAGAAATATTTCGTTTTTGCTATCAATTCCTCGTTTTGGCCTTCTTTTGAATGCCAACTGAAATTCAGGAGAGGATGAGGGCGTTTGCAAAATGCATCGTCTGCCTCAGTGGTCCATATCAGTTGAGCAATTACTACGAAAAGACTAGAACTAAACAACTGTGATTCACCGGCAAGGATGAACTCCACTGCTCATTCTGCTCGAAGTTTTACTATTCTCTTCATGAATTGCGAGTACATATGGAGGAATGACGCACTCGTGTGGGGATATTTTCCAACTTGGCCATCCCATCAAAACATGACCGTCATACAATAGCACAGTTGTGTATGGGCGCCAGGGCTTTGCCTCTCTTAGGCGGCCAACAGTGAGAGCGCAGCTCGCGCTTTTATAAGACTTCCTTAAAGGAACAGTTCACGATAAAAATGGTTTCTGAGTTCTTCCCCAAGGAATACCCGGTGGCCCACAAGGGTAAGAGGAGTTTTCGGGTCCCAAAACTCAACAGCTAGGGCACTGTTGGAGCCCCGTACCGGATCGATGCCCCGCCTCTCAACCCATGATATGTCAGACGAGTGTCGAGGCGATACAGGTTGCAATATTCACGTCAGGACCCACACATTCAACACGCAATTAGCTGATCGTAGTGACGAAGCGATAATTTTCTCCGTTTTTATGATTCTCTCTTATAACTTCACTGCTGCGATCCTTTTTCTAATTTTTACCTCAAGAGGCTGAAAAGGTGGGCTATTTTTTGCTGTTACTAGGTTTTTTTTGTTAACCTATGCATGTGATCAATGGCTTTAAAGGACATTTTGGCTTACTGTGGTCAGCCATTCGCACCAGGACCCACACCTTGGCAATGACACACATTGTACAGCCGTCCAAACGCCCCATTATTCTTCGTTTTTCTGGTCTCATTCTCGTACAGCCCCCCTTTCGACGATTTCGAAGCTTTTTTTCACTTTGGAAACACCGATTCACGCACTTTCTTCGTCTTCATCGCTTTTTTCCTTCTTATCTTTTATTTATCGTCATAATCTGGATTACCCAAAATTGTCGTGAACTGTGCCTTCGATTCACATGACCTTTTTGTGCATATATAGGTCATACCGTTTTGCTTATCGGTTGCATGCTGTTTCTTCTTCTTTTTTGCCATAGGTATGCTTTTTCTTTCATTACAACGGCCAACCTCTTCGTTTTTCGCTGCCTACATAGCCTGGATGATGAAGTTCTTATACCTTAACGATCTTCTAGAATAAGGCTACCAAGTTTTTTATCCGATCTAAACTGATCTTCTCGTTTCTTCTTAAAGTTGCTGTTTTCTCCTGCATTATTTCTTACAGTCCCTTGAATTTCTTACTGTGAATCGCTAAAGAGTGAGGAACAGTTTGGCATCAGCGTTTGTCTTGGACAGCACTGTCAAATATTCGGAAAGCAATTTTTCAAAACCAACCAAATAGAGTGGAGTATTGTTGGGAGAGATGAGAAAAATAACGAAGAAATTTTAATGTAAAGTTTTCCAAATTTTGATTCGGGAAGGATTCTTAAGGAGTAGTGGAGAAATAGGTGGGAACATCCAGAATCTGGAAATCTGAATAGTTTTCGGAAGCGGGACGTATCTAGAAATGGGGATCAAGGTCAGCATTGATTCTCACCAGTATTGATCAAGCCCTAAAGCTGTCTATTTTCTGGAAGGAAGTCGAACGCGATCGAACTTCTAGAAGAGATTGACCAGCGCTCAAGTTATTGACTTATCTTGAACTTAATCTTAACTTATCTTTCTTGTTCTCCCTAGCTTCTTATAGTGTTGCTTTTTGTTCAGAAAGAGCACACGTCGCAAATGATAGATTGCGGTATCATGGCTCGTGCTACAGTCACTTGTCCTGGATGTCAGGAGCAGTTCCGCACACATTACGATCTCGCCCTTCATTGTGGTGATGTACACAGCAAGGAAGATGGCCAAGACTTTTCAATTATTCAAGGCACTTTTCCTGACGAGAGAGATTTCAACGTGAGCCGTTTGTAGTTAGAATATGCTATTCATACTTCTTAGATTTAACCATCTATCCAGTTTTACGATGAATCTTTTTGAATATTAAGATGTGGATGGATTCGATAGAAGTTCTGACGAAAGTGCGATTTATAAAGCGAACATCACGACCCTGCAGAGGTGGCAAGTGCAGCTATGTTTTCACTTGTGGACATGCAAGAGGAAAGGGAGACGCAATTGATCCGAAAGAAATGCGCCACCGATTTTCACAAAGTAAACGAGTTCACTCTCATTGTCCAGCTTTTATTAAGGTATGTTTGCTCTACTTATTGCGAAAGGGTTGGCATTTGTGTCTCAGATGATGTAAGGGTAATTCAGATTACGGAGAACTCTGAAGAAGGATCGCAAGAACTGCACTACGTTGCGTGTTTGGGTCATCTGGGGCATAAGACAGGTGATGCACTAATCGAAGCTGAGAAGAGCATGAATAAACTCTTTAACAACCATAACAAACACAAAGAAGCTCTACGATACTATGGCAATGATCAGGTACTTACTTCAAGTAAGCAGACTTCTACAGTATCAGTCTTTTCTCTAGGATATGATAATCGAGTTGGAGAATAACACTTGGGCTGTTGTAGCTGAAGGAGGCGGTGAACATTACGTAGAAATTGGTGAACCTTGCGGATGTGAAGTAGCGGTGAGAATCTTCTTTTTACTTCAGTGTGAAATTTCCTTCCAATTCTTGTGATAGTAAGAATGATATGAAATCAAATTCATAGACCTCTCGCCGATTGAAGGGAAGATAGGGATGGTGCACGTAGGGAAACGGGCGTTAGGAACGATTTCGGGTAATCGATTTGCCGCACGCGGCTATCGCGGACCGCTCATTCGCCGTTATTACAGCTCTNCATTCCTTCGCGCGCGACGCCCCTCTCACCGCGACGCGACCATTTCGTTCCTAACGCACCACACCCGTGCACGTATGCCAACAGGCTATAACTCGATTTTTACAAGGAGTTTCATAAAGAAAGTGTGACGTGCATTATTCAGAAAACACACCTCTCACAGCCTGCAGTTCCATTATAAGAATGTGCTAGCCATATCAACCAAACCATAACCCATGAATAGCTTTGTCAAATGTTCTTTAATGTTAAGATGTTTTGAACTTGTACACCGAGTTTTCTACTTTTCCATTTTCTGTCGTTTTTCAAACCTTCTGCTCAGCTGTCGATATTTCAGAGTGATGTTCATTGTGATCGATGTAGCGCATGTAGCTACCAGATGAAGTGTGACTGTATGGAACCAGGTCATACCGGCTCACCTTGTATTCACTGCCATGCTGTGGCGACATATTCAGAGAAGGGTAACACTTTCACCTGTAGATTTTCGAAATGCGTTATACTGAGGAACCGCTGCGTTCAATTCGAAGAAGAAAAAAGTTGTTTGGGACAATAAGTAAAGCTTTCGAAAGCAATCAGTGTTACATGTGTTGGGCTGCGAACACATTCGACTCGTGAGTGACGTTAGCATGGTTGCTCGACTCGTCTGCTTATAAAAATCGTGCTAGCTAGCTTATGTTTGAATCGTATTTCATCTCTCCTGATGTATCTGGTACATACATACATGCCCTGCCCTAGAGGGATAGAAACATGATTGACAAAATTAAGACCAGATTCGGGATAGTGACACCTCTTATCTCTGTGCAACCATGGACTCATAGTTTAGGTAGAGGTAACTTTGTATAAAGCATTGTGTTTCATTTGAGAAAGCAAGATTTCCAAAATTTGATGTTTTTTATCGTAATGCTGGTTTCCTATTATTCTGTTTCTGGTTTAGCTCGTCAACTCATCCCTCTTGTTAAACATCATCTCGCAAGCGACTGCTCCAAAACTTCGCGAACATCGCGAGGTCTTCAAAAGACAAAAGTGCCCGACACAGCATACGTCTCAGATGAGGAGATGTATGAAGTTACGAATTCTATCAAAAAAGGATCGCCTGAGCCATCACAGAACATGGATACTAACGCAAGTACGCTATCGTACCAGACAGAGACGCCTCCATGCAAAGTAACAAAGACCAAGAAACAGGCACAGTTAGAATACGAGCAGCTGCAAGGGGTGAGTTGAAAAGAAAAACTAAGGCAAAAAAATTTCTCCTCTATTGTTGACATTTTAGCTAGAACAACGTCTAGATCTACTGGCTAAGACTTGTATGCTCAGCAATATGCCTCATGTTATTCGAGAAATGCGTGCTACAATCGAGAATAAATTGAGAGAAATACTCAGAGATCGTGGTACAGCTACGTGGACGTCACCGAAGAACCGATTGCTACCATTGAGGCAAGACGCACGGCAGAAAATGAGTCAATCTGTAGGTTACTATTGCGATTAAGCCTTACACAATACTTCGATGGAAATTTCCTTTCGTTCCTTTGGATATTCGGAAGTTTAATCTATAACGCGAAGTGATGTGCACCCATTTCCCACTCCATCTTTTCTAAGATTCATACAACTGGTGAAATCAGCTTTCTAGGGTTCTGCACCGCATATCGAGACATATATTATCTTTCAGCGAAATTTTGTGGAGAAAAAGTATGGAAGTAGGAAAAGTAAGGAGGAAAAGACGGATACTTCGTTTCATGCCATATTCCCTTTATTAGTTTCATTCCATGTTTATTTCCATACAGCCAGATCTGAACGAAGCCAAGATCAAATTGATGCTGTGCTAGATAGAAACCTCGTTCTAGGAATCGTTTAGCTGATTCAAAGTTGTATATCAGTAATACGTGCAGCACAAAACCTTCAATAATCGGCTGTTTACCTCCTGTTTTCTGGTAGGTCTAGCGTAGGCAGAAAATACCAGAAAACCGGCTTGAAGTGCTTGATTAATGGTTCAATCTCGAAAGTTTGAAAGGAAAGTTGAGAAAAAAAACGAAAGCACGAAATAAGTATTGAAGGGACTGTGCCCAAATGGATCTGAAGAACTCATTTTTAGCCAGAAGCAAAAGGAGATTTATCGGCCACCGAACAGGCTATTCACGATTTGCTGACTTCTGCACCTCCATCTGAAATGGTTTCTGAGCATAAACAAGAAGATAACGTGAGTTTCTAACCGTTTTATTCTGAACTTACTAGAAAACCAGCAACTCCGTTTCTCTTCTTTAGGTTTGCGGTTTGCAGAATAATGTTTTTTGATTTTCAGTTTTTGTTTTCGGTAGTTAGGGTACGGAAGGGTTATTGCGTTCAAAAAAGAAAACTAGTGCTGAAGAGGTCGTTGAATTTAGAAAGAGCACATTCTGAGTCGCATCGCTGGATTTGAAGCTGCAGTGAAAGCGTCGCGGGAAATGCAAGTTGATACGGTTGCTGATATGCCGTGCACTTCCGTAAGTATAATATCGAATTTATTTTTTTACAAGAATAGATTATTCTAAGCAATCCGATCGAACATTTCAAAATTTTGTCGAAACCTATTTGAAATGATTGCTGAAGATTCTGTCATAATATTCCTCACAATTTTTTCGCGAATACTATCGAATAGGCTCCTATGGAGGAGTGAAAGTGAGTCGAGTTAGTACTACCAATGTTAAGATACGACAAGTTTCTCACTAGAATGTTCATGCCTCTGCGATTAATTTATGTCTGCTGAGAGTATGCCTCCCATTTATCCCATTGAGGATTGCTAGCATTCGAGTGCTTCTTGAGCTGTGCGATAGTTTACGGTAGCTACCTAAGTAATCCTCAAAATGGGGAATGAAAGGGCAGGACTCGCCACAGTTCCTTTTAGGTTGATGCATAATCATTGCGGATTTTTTGCAACAAATTTTATTCAACAAAACGATAAAAATCCGGAACAAACACATGTTCAAATAATTACTCGGGAACTTATCCACCATCTACATTAAGCACTGCTTCCCAGTGGTTAGACAGTCGGTTTCCAAAAGCGAAGAAGTTTTGATTCTTTGGGGCGATCCACGCCTTGACACCGGCCATCAAGTCATCCAAATCGACGTAAGTTCTATTCCCTAGCCATTTTTTCAGCGAACGGTTGACGAGATAATCCATAGAAGTTTCTGCTGGTGAAAATGGCAGAATTAGGAGCAGACCCCATTTCTTGGTTGGCTTTGGCTGATTGTTCCACCGCCGAAAAGTTACTAAGATCGCGGAATGACTCTGCCACTTTCCAACCTTTCTCGAAGTAGTAGAGCCTGATTTTACGAGTATGCTGACAATTTTTAGGGCCATTTTTGTAGAGGAAATAAAGTAGATCATTTCTCGGAAAAACCCGAGCTCAATATTCAAATTCTATCAAGAGAAAAAAAAAGCCGCGAAAAAATCCGCAGTAATTATGCATCAACCTGATACATTTATTGAGAACATATATACATATCAACTAATGAAGGGTCTCCCAATAGTTATGAAAAACGTTTTTTGAAGTTTTTCAATCAGCATTGCCCTGTTCAAAACTCCTTTTTTTAGGTGAAGTGTGTTTATTGTTTAAATCTCGAGGCAATTTTATTTTCAGGAGTACCAAATTTAGACTTGCTCAATCATAACCTTTACAGCACCAAGTCGATGAGGGTAACTTGGATGAGCAACGCAATCTCACAGAGAAAATGGATATCGAACCCCAATATCAAGATCCGAAAGCCTCTCCATCGGTGAGGAACACTTAAATTTTAAGCACATGCAGTTTGCTAATCTACTATATAAATTTACATAGGTTTGAATCCTTTGTTGTCTTTGAAGAAGTCAAACTATGCAGGTCTCGATATCAAGTAATCCAGAAAGTTTACCTCATTTAATTAGGGAGCTTCTATCGTGTTATTCCGCTGTTCTTCAAGTAATTCTTCAATTGGTTTCTAGCGAAACCAATTCTTGGGGTTACAGTTTTTTAAGCAAAGAAATCTAGCAGCTCAAGGAATCTCACGCTTGCTCTAGAAGCCTTCGTGTTGCAGGAAACACATGAAGATGTGGACCGATCTGCATACGAGTTTTCCAGTATTGATTCGGAATTAGCGAAAGGTCCTCGTCGAGTGCTCAAACGGATATATGTGAAACGAGGCCCGGATTTGTTGTTAAAAAGAGTGGTCGTGAGACCGAGATCTCCAGTAAGTTTTACAGTTCTAGCAGTTGTGAACAATTTTGACTGAAGTCACTTTTAGGGTAAGGCTGAAATGAAAAACCAACCTCTATTGAGTCAGGAAAGCAGCGAGGATCAAACAGCAAAAGAAAGTCAACCAGACAATACACCAAAGGTCATAAAGCGAGTAGTAGTCAGAGCTCCTAGAACGGTTAGTGTGTTGTTGCGTTGTGGTTAGTGTTTGCTTGTTTGTGAATTGCTTATCTTGGGCGATGACCATGGTGTTTTGTAAGAAAAGCCAGAAACTCACATGTACGTGTTCACACTATGTTAAATTCAAACGTGTCCCTTATATGACCCCCTCTCTTCATCACTGAAGTTACCTCAAACCAAATCATACATTCTATCGAATAGGAACCCACACCACACGCTTGGGGATTTCGATCTATTTCTGCTTCACATCGATTCAGCGGATTCTTACGGAGCCTCTGCTATGGTGGAAAGCTTTTCAATACCCAATTTCTAACATAAGAGCTGTACCCGATATTAAAGTCCTCTTTCAGAACCTTTGTGTTTGCGTGGTCCGAGCGCGAGATCCGAATTGCTGCTCTTCGGTAGTGTATTGAGTGGACGGAGAGATTTGGTTTGATTGATATCTTTCATTTCCACAGGTCCACACAAACTTGCCGATTAGGGTGCAGCCAACTTCAACGTCATCAACGGGACAAAATGAGATTCGATTTGTAAAGCCACTGAAGGTCGTCGAACGTGTTATGGGCATTGCAAAATCTGTACGTGAATACTTCACTTTGCATGCTTTGCGCTTATTCTTAGAACAAGGTACGGTGCGCAATCTTCCCATAATTGCCTTTGAAGGTGATCTTTACTTCAACTTATCCATTTGGCTCAATAATGCGTGCCACTGCATTTGAATCATCTTTTATGCAAAAGCTAATTTTCCCCTAGTAATTATCCCGACATCAGTTTTTTCCAGGAGTACCCGGCGGCCGAAAAGAGGCGGAATCTTGTAAGAACACAGCCCTTACCGCGAAGCAACAAAATCGCACGAACATCCGAATTGATCAGGAAGGGCGTCTCTCCACCACTCATCCGGAGGACAGATGAAAGCGCTGCACAAAGCGCACCGACGTGTCTTCTGTGTGGAAAAACGAAGCTTACCTCCGATGACGCAAATCGAATAGCGTGGTTCTGTTGCTCAAACAAATCCAAATGCCGAGCACGGGCACACGTGCAGTGCCTTCGCGGAGCACGACTAAAGTGCTTCGTATGTCATGTCGGGTCGTGGACAGCTCTAAAGGACTGCCAAAACACAATTCAACCCATGCCTGTAGTTCGAACTCAAGAGTGCTCTCCTACACTTACGGAAGCGAGCTCATAATCATATTCAACAACTGTTAGTATAACATGATCGTAGTTTTCAATCGTAATTTGAAGAAATCCTCTTATGTAAATGTTTAAATGGTGTTTGAGGTTCTGCATTTAATGTTTTTTTCGTTTGTGCTTTTTCTTTTGTTCTATCCTAGTAAGCCATTATATCTGCTGTGAGTGTGGTAATCAACCACCTTATACTCTTCTCGTTTTGGTTTTTCAAATGACTTTCATAGAAATAATAGAAAATAGGAATAGGACAGGAAAGAAGTGCATAGGTCTTTACATTTACATGTTTCTTATTTGTTTAGAGAAGAGGTATAAATATTGTAAAATATAATAGCCAGCCAAGCAGCGGAAAATGAAAACAAATCATATTGAAGGGCTCACTCGTCTGTAAAATGAAGAGGTCTCAGAGTTTATAACAACAAATTTCGTGCCAAACTTGGGATGTAGCATGCTTTATTCTTGTGGATAGGTGAGAAAGGAAAAATGGGAGAGCCTTCAAGAAGTACCCCCTCAAGAGCAACTTACGCGATAAACAAGCACGGTGGTGCCTTCACGGCCTGCATGGTCTGTATTGGCATAGACCAGAAGACAAACGGACGGAGGGGAAGGTAGCAGAGAGGGAATATAGAGTTCCGCCGTCTAGACTATGATCTGAAGAGAAGGGTCGTTTGGCGCGATCCCTCCTGTCGCGCTGCCCATTCGACGCAGTTTGCAAGCTGGACAACTCGTATTCTATTCTCTTCTGCCTGTCTACATAGACTATTTGGCTTTTTCATGGTATTTGAACGAGTTGTCCAGCTTGCAAAACGTGTTGAATGGGCGGCGCGATGGGAGGGATCGCGCCAAACGACATACACCCTGATCTGAAGGATTAGAGCGGATTTATATATGAGCAACTCAGTGATGACCCTCTTTCGACCTTTTTTATTTTTGTACAATTTTTGTTATTTTAGTTGCTGTAATTAATGTTTTACTGTACCATCGGGACGAGACAACGATCCCTAACTTATAAGACTTAACACTTGTCGTGTTCCCCTCACTTCCACCCGATAACTACTATGTGTTCGCTACGTTCTGACAAGATCAAATGCTTAAGGTTCTTCAGTTGTTGGATCCACTTTTGCTGTTCCGCTGCTCTTTGTATCCGAAGATGAACTTTGTTTATACCCTTGCCCTAAACTTTTCTGCAGCGCAAGTACCTAGAGTAAGATGGGACGAAGATGGGCTTATAAATCTAAGCTCCTATTGCTTTGCCAGAGAACAGTTGGGAAATCCCGAGAAGCTAGTCGAACTTCTCTATCAACTTCATTTACACANACACAACAATTTGGTCAACTCATGAAAAGGTTTTTTTCTTGGATGCAGCAATTCCCGTGGTCACCAACAGAAGCACGATCCAGTACTGCAGGAACCAGTTCGTCCAAACTGAAAGAGAACTGTGTTATTTAGAGTTGGGGAGTTCCACTGTCACTACAAATGTATTTATTCATTTCACGCATACATAAAGACTTTCACACAAATCCACTGAAAGTACATGAAAAGATCTCAAAGGGTGAAAGGGTCACCGAAAAAAGGTACTTTCACGTCGTTAGATCAACAGTTGGAAAATTGAGCAGGAAAACAGGGAGGCACGGAAACAGTGTATGGCAGGCGAGCATGGCGATTATGTATGTCATTTGAAAGTAAATTTTCGGATGTTTGGTTTTTCTGGGTGGCAGATTTTGTACTCGGGTTCCCATGACAAACAGCAGTGATTCGGTGGTAATCGCGGTAATCTTCCACTGGGAATTCATATATTCTCTTTACAGTGCGCTATCGGGTGTGGTGGGTGCGGCACCACACCGGATGGCGGAATAAAAGCTGGGGGATCAGACCGATGTGCAGTAGTGTGATCAGTCCTAGTTGTTGGAAGGTCTGTAGTGTTATTCCATGGGCTACTAATTCTCCTCAAAGTCAAAGAGAATTTGTTCTGATAACGACAGAAGCCGTTTACCTGCTGCCAACACAGTTTAATACATGAGTGTACTCCGTAGTAACAAGCGTCTCCGCGTCTAGCACGCGCAGCACTGTCCGTGATACAGCACAGAACAAAAACCAGAAACAGCAGAATACTTCCTTTCTTTGTCATTACTGAAATATCACATCATTGAGCAACCGAATTTGATTGAAGAGAACAATATCTAGTAACAAGCAGGTCTGGTTGACTCGTCCAGGATTTTTCCACGGACATGCATGTGGTAGGTGCTTCATGCTATTAGAGGGATTTTAGCGTCCTGTGGATGCGTGACACCGTAACCCCCTAGTACTCCAGCATCCACCCCGTGGGCTTCACCCAGCGTACCTTTTCTTTGCGTCGTATATGTGACGGGTGTTTTGGAGGCGCTCCAACGTGTGTTTGGGTTATGTGTCACATATTCACGGGATCGGCACTTCACTCACACACGGTCAAGGGTTCGAATCCCTGATCGATGCCCGCCTGGGCCAACCAAGCCTTCCATCCCTCCGGGGTCGGTTAGTTGGTGCCAGACTCGTCTAGCGCAGCAACCGTATACAGGGCGCTTCTTTGTTTTTCCGAACTTCTTACAGTTGTGGTGGAGTTATTGGTTTATGGCGAGAGGAAGAAAAGGCAGGTTAGACTATACAGCTCCCCTCTCCACAAAGGGATTTTGGTCGGTAAACCAGTAGCCACTCTGTTGCGTTTACTAGCGGGTTTTTTTGTCGAAATTGATGAACGAGACTTTTTCACAAGTAAGTTGGGTGGTGTGGCCCATCCCAAACCATCGGAGGTCAGGTGGGTTCGATACCTTATGCTATTTTGTGATGACTTTGGACTACGACGGTTACGGACAGAATGGCGCCTGCAGGGAACAAACACAAGAACTGACGCGGATCCGATTGTTTGCTTTTTAAAGAAAGCTCTGGTCCGTAGCCATGCAAGGGGGAAAGTCAACTGCAATGAAGTAACACGAAACAAGAAGGGCGAATAAAGTTAACACAGTCACCTTCTTCAGCAAATCGGTGATCAACGGGACGACAAATGGGGCAGAGGATACGGTATGAGACATAACCGCTAGACTTCATGAACGGTTGACAAATGGGGCAGAGGATACGGTATGAGACATAACCGCTAGACTTCATGATCGGTTGCAAGAGACGGGTCCTATAGGAACTACTGCCCCGCTACGGACTTTGAAAGAAAGGATTGGATCGATGGTGGCATAACCAAACGCCTCCCTAAATTTAATGGAGAAGTGAAGACTTTTCAACGTTTCCTGCTTCGCATACTAACTTGCAACTTTCGGAATATTTAAAGGCGCAGTGCATAATAATTAGATGCTCTTATTTCCTTAGTATGATTTGGGGCGACTGGCCGTTGTAGTATCAGTGCTTTATCCTACCAGACGAGTCTGATACCAATTAACAGACCCAAGAGAGATGGAAGGCCTGCTTGGTCTAGACGACTCTGGACCGTGGATTCGATCCTTGGATCATGCGCGTGGGATAGTGAGCTACTTGTCACTACACCACATCCGCCCGTCAACTGCAAAATACTGTCAGTACGAAAGCAGGGGCGGAAGTGGTATAGTGGCAAGTGATGTGGTGGAAAATGGCGCACCTAACACACGCATGGTCACGGGTTCGAGTTCCGGATGGATATCCGCCTAGACTAATCAAGCCTTCTATCCTCCCAGACCAGTCTGGTACCAATTCACCTCCGGGGTCGGTGAATTGATACCAGACTCGTCTGAGAGTATAAAAGCTTTAACTTGTACATCGGCTGGGTCGCGCAAGTCATTGTATAGGCCACATACGCACTCATTACACCACTACGATCCAGAATGCAAGTCAAAATGCGTGGGCGCATCCCTCAGACGAGATTGATTAACGCCCCAAGACTTTATCCTTTAGACTTTTATCCTTTTCTGTTTCTCACTTGCCNACATCGGCTGGGTCGCGCAAGTCATTGTATAGGCCACATACGCACTCATTACACCACTACGATCCAGAATGCAAGTCAATCTCGTCTGAGCGCATCCCTCAGACGAGATTGATTAACGCCCCAAGACTTTATCCTTTAGACTTTTATCCTTTTCTGTTTCTCACTTGCCTTGCAACCAAGTTCTATTGAAGAGGACCAAAGGGAATAAACGAACCGAATTGTGATTGATGACCTTGAGAACCACTCCAGATGGATAGACGATGAGGGATAAATGATGGAACACAGCGTTGTGATGATATTTATACTCCCTATTATCATTCAAGTGAACTTCAGCTGAGCTTTACTGTACTGACCGCTTAGCGAAGAACTAGGTGGTGTATAGTTGCCAAGTGGGGAATGTACCTCATTTTCCGTAGCGGGAGCGTCTACTGAAGAGCGAGAACATACCGCAACGCACTAAGATGCGCTTGGACGCCTTTTTTCGTTACTTATTCAGACTTTTTCTTTTCCTTCCCCCCAGTTCAACTCTCTTTTATGTCACAAGTATGCTTTCTGGGTAATGAAAAGGATCAATAAGAAACAAACAAACGTTTGTTATCCGTACGTTTCTTGTTTCATCTAGTTGCAAAGCAGGATTTTCAAATCATTCCCTTCCTTCGGCTATATTCGCTGGCTCTCGGCAGCCGCAGTTAACAAGTTAGCCGTCGCACCAGGATCAATTCGAGCCTTTCTTCCACTCTCACCTTGCTTTTCCCTCAGTGAGCCTCAGATTCACTATATCTAAGCCATCTAGATTTCACGCAGTGGGCCCATCCCTCAGATGAGACTAACGCCCAGAAACTACCCTTTTTCATCAGAGCAATGTAAGCTGTTTATTATGCGAACTCCTTATTAAACAAATCTTTTTGACTAGACTATTTGCACAAAATAACTGGTTATATTACAATGCTGACAATCTGTACAGGGAATGTTAATGAAATAGCATCAGCGTTTAAGTGAGCGTGAAGTGAAGGAATGGCGTATAATCACAGTTTCATAGATTATCATTCTGTCTGGCTTTTGCTTCCATTTCCATAAGTTTCCTTTCATTGGAGAATTGGATACCAGCCATTTCCAGAATAGTCTTATCTGGGTTGTCATCCCAATTTCCAGGTAGTGGTACCTTAAAAGAAAGAACGTCAAACCATATGACCTAGTAAACTGCTGAGTAATGAGCACTGATAAGCTAAGAAGCATTATCACACAAAAATGCCTTTTGTATGAGCTAAATTATCACATTTAGAAAAAAAAAACAATGCCACGAAATAAAACCGACTTTTTTGATTTTTTCTGCTTGTTTGTTTTGCCACGCCCTCAATCGTTGTTGGTCTTGAAGAGCACTTGAAGGAGCACATCCCCAGACCTTAAGATAACAGTGGCGGTTTAAGTGATAGCTTGGCTTGACATGAAAGTGGGCCCTAGATGGTAAGGACTTACAGCAAAAGCAGTGATATGCTACTATTGTTTTAGAGCCAATAGAGCACTACTAATTGCCAAACTTTCCCACTATCCTAAGCGCCTTCGGATCAGTTAGCTGTCCCACCACAAATGATCGCTTTTAAAAAGCTCCAGATATTCGACCCTAATCAATCTTTTGCTATATGCGCCAGGCACATAACATTTGGATGCTATCAGGAGACAAGGAAGCCTTAGTCCAGTCAAATCAAAGTTTCGAGGGTGCTCGGATTAAAATCTTTAAGGTGCCTAAGGACTCTTCGAGAGATAAAAACATGACCGATTAATCTCCAGAGCGATCGTTAAGATACGGTCAGAGAAGTCGAATGCCCAGCTGTAAAAAAATACTACAGTATGACAACCGTACCTCGATGGCCGCAACATTTCCCATTTCTTTATCGATCTTCATTTTATCCAAGAATGAAAGCCCAAATGCTGCTGATCGTATTTTGAAATTACAGTATATGGGTGGAGAAGGAGAAGAGAAACGTTTCAGATCTGGCGATATTTCAAACAATACTGTTGCTTGTCCACCAAAACGGCTGCCACTGTGCCTGTAAGTGCCATACTTATTGTCCTGATCTCTGTGAATTAGTATGTAAATTACCTCCAAGTGTCTTCTGTGGCTAATACGAATATGCTCCCATCGGTTAGTTGAAATATTGATACTGTAGGTCCTCTGTAGTCAAATACGTTGTTTTCAAAACGATTCACACTAATTCCATGAACGGCAGTCGAGTATAGTGGAGTCCAGGAATGATTCACATTCGATTCACAAGCTTCCTCGGAATCCGAAAACGTCAAAAGTCTTCCACAACGATCATTTTTCATGTATTACTTCGAGAATTTACCTTTGCTGACTGTTTTGGGAAGAAGGTACTTTGTAGAGATGACTGGACGTACCACATTTGCATTGGAGTCAAAATTTCTGAGGAGTATTCGGTGTTATCCTAAGGAATTATCATGTAAGCTAAATAAACGGAAATTTCCATAATAAGTATTCTTACGAATGCATAGCCAAGGAAGACATGTAGCACTAGATCTCGCAGTGCATTACAGAAGGCTGGGCACATATCGCGTTTCCAGCTGACGATTTCCTCAACGCTTGAGCCTCGTTCACACTAAAAAATTGAGATAGAATAATACTCTGGCAAGCGGTAAACTATGAGCTTTTGTATTACCAAGTTTTACGAATATTGATAGAGGAAAAAAAGCTATGACTCTGTGCAAAACGTGCTAAAATCATTTAATATTCATTACTGCACTTATTTATCTCTTCCTTTTCTTAAATCAATATCAAGAGAAGAGGCGCACTCAGTCCGTCTATCCGCAGTTAAGTGATGAAGTAACCGATTGACCGATCTGATAGTATCTAATTCATGTTGCGCACTCCCGATTATACACTACGCCCACTAGCGAGAGTTCGTGCAGTTTTAGGCCGCTTTTTCAACAGGGAAGGATCCCAAGTCGAAGTGGCCGTTTGCAATGAGACCTATGCTACTAGACGTACTTCCGCATGTTGATTTCAAATCTGCTCTCCAGCTTGCTGAACGATTCTCTGAATGAAGTTATGAGGACGACTTTAGATGGGCTCGTACTAGACATCAGTTCGCTTGAATTAAGCTCACCTAAATAGCCCTTTCTCCATTCGGAGAATGCCCACCTAAATAGCCCTTTCTCCATTCGGAGAATGGCTCGGTAAATATGGAAAGGAAAGCAGGTTTGATGTCAGCACCCCAGAACACGTCCAATAGTAAAGGTCTCACTTTGAACGGCCAAATCGACTTGAGACCTTCCTGGTTAGCTCGCGAAGTGCAACTCAGATAGGCGATGTAAAGCCTCGTCCGTGTTGCCGCAACGCATGAGGTACGCGAGCGGTGATCGATTTTGCGCGATGTTGGGACTGAACTTGCCTGGCAGCTCTCGTATTCGATTTTGTGCCTTATCTTATCTTTTACCGACTGATATATCTATATATCTTTTACCGACTGATTACTGCTTAGTTTGATTTCTTAGCGAGTGATGGAATAGTGCCCACTTGTCGTTATCGCGTATGTCGATTTACGCGCCGCGGCAGCTGTAGTGGGGGCTGACCGCTGCAGGCCAGATTTCTGCATATGGGAGCAAAGGATTATCCTGGCGAGCCGGAGCTAGCCCATACACAAAACAGTGAAACCATGCCGTAAGATTTTGCCCATTCCAAATAGAAATACATGCACGAAGACTCGGAATAAAAGCCTTCAATCATGCGCGCTTTTCTTGCTGCCCACAACTTCGGTTTTCTTATGGTTCGACAATTTATCCTTTTCTTGTTGCTCAAACCCAGTGCTCAAATTACAGCAACTGCTCGCTCAGCTCGAACAGCTCAACCGTCTATTACGACCCAAAAGAAGCCACCAGAGGATAGAACCGGAGGTCTAATCTTTTAAAAGTCTGTGCGAGTTGCAGAAGAACCGTATCCAAACCGTCTGTTAGCATTCATATACCGATGCCGAAGTTCTCGTCGGCAGTTTTGTGATATGCCACACAGCTGAACACTTCTTCAAACCCCGAAATGCCTGTTTTACCCTGCTCTACTTTTGCTTTTCGACTGATTACTGTTTTCCACTGAAGGCTTAATAGTTTTTGCTGGGGATTGATTTGCAACTCATCCAACAGCCTTTACGCTCTCTTTCCCCGACTTCGGAACGTTTTTGAGCCGAGTTATCCGAGTTTGATCATAGCACCGAACACCGCAGTACAGACCCCGCCCACCGTGATCATATGTCCACCCTTGTCTCAGCTTTAGCTGCCCCTAATTATCTTCTCCTATTATGGAACGTCACTGAACCCAGCCAAGAACTTTCGTTCTGAGCTCCGCCACACGGCGTAAAGTCAGTCCACACTAGCGATTCGACCACATTTCGTCTATAGTACCCAACCACTTTTTTCCTGCGATCAAGATCGTTCTTGAGCGGAGTTAGGAATGTTTGGTCTATGCCCCGCCCAGCTCTGCAAGCCCCGCCCACTTAGCTATTTAGATTACGAACCTTCGATGATTCAACCACTATCTTCGCACTTTGCACATTTTCTTTCAAAGTGCATACCTTACATTTAAATGCAAGCCCCATCTGTCGTAGGCACCTTCGCGAAGTTCTCAGGTGCCCAGCACTTATAGGACCTTGCCCTTCCTTTCTATTTTTTTAGTCTCCAGGGTTTCGCTGTCTTGCGTTATGAATTTATATCGAACGTACCACCCACCGTGTGAACGCTCCGCCCACCGAGAATCTCCTTCATTTCATTTGCGCACCCATCCCTCACCTCTGCTCATTTTCCACTCGCGTCTGGGCTGTTAAGAAACCAAATCAAGAAGTTTGGCCCGTGGTACCATTCACTCTCATCTGTACGTCTCGGTCACTGTGGGCGGAGCTTCTCTGAACTCACACGTGCTTTATGGATCTTGCCCTTTGCCCAACCCATTCCGAACTTGAACCGACTTCTACAGGTGCTTCTTGAGGGCGACATGAGGGCGTTCGTCGGCGGCCAGTGCCGTTAATACCTGAGCCGACATCAACGTTGGCGTCAGTACTATGTATGCAACCTCCTTCTGTAAAAAGGGCACTTCAATCGGATGTTATCGATTGCAACATGTTAAACTTTAAATGCAGATGTACATAGACATTTGAAGTCACGGTTTTCTCCTAGAAACCGTACAGTTAGACTGTTTTGAAGCGTCAACGGGTAACCCTGTAACTTTGAGAGCGTTTTATAAGAAATAGATCTTGCGAGCTCAAACCCAATTGCTCTCTAACCATTTCGTGTACAAGATTGCCGATGAACTTTTCGTCGCCTGCAACAGCTCCTGCTCCAGCAGCTTCCGAACAGTTCTTAACCAAAGTGAGGACAGGTTGGCATACTGAAAACGGAAACATGACGCTTGTTTCAAATTTCAAAGTATCAAAATTTATGCCGAACTCGTCTACTCTTACCTTTTACGTAAACATCTGTCGAAGTCCCCCACAAACTGGGAGCATGCCGTGCAAACTCGTCCAACGTTAGTCTATCATCATAAGGTTTAGAGTCGCTCAGGTAATTCCATAAACTCTCAGCAAGACCTTCGCTGAAAACGTCCTGCAAACTAAATTCCGGTAGCTCAATTTTCAATTGATGCAATTGCTCGGACCTTTATAAATGTAAATGCCACCGTGACCTCGGATTCCAAATATCCTATCATGTGACCACGTTACCTAAGCGGATTACCATATTAGGCTCTTTGTTGTGCAGTGGAGTAATCCGTACATTACAGTGTACCTTTAGGTAGCGTACGCCTGCTGTTCTGCTCTATCTAGTTTTGAAAGTAGTTCTGTAAACTGTGATTTAAGACCAGATAGGGCGGATTTCAGAGCCAAGAATGCACAATATTCCTACACGTGACGTGCTTCCACTGCAACACACCGCTGAAACGCCAAGACTTCGTGTCCCTTTATCTCCGGTTATCGCTCGACGAACTTGAAAATTTCAAGGTGCTGAACTGGGAAAGGGAACGGACGACCACTCATTAAATAAGGTGTATGGGTATATTCACCCAGAACTGGATGGACGCGGCAAATCGCGCGGCGGATTCGTGGTGTTTTGAACGACTTTTGCGCCTGTCATTGGGGCTCATATCTGAAGTAGAGTCGATTAGTACGATCACCTGACCATACTAATGTATTCTACCTCAAGTTTGCGGCCCAATGATGGTGCCAGAGTCTTTCTAAAGGTCACCAATCTCGCCGCACCATTTACCGCATTCATCCAGTTCTGGGCGAATGTTCCGTCCCCCGTAAATAAGTATTACGGCAGCATTGACAAGCAGAGATCCACGCTCGTATTTGGTTCTTTAAATATTCTAAAAGAGTAGAGAACCCTCTAAAATATTGATATTCACTGATTGTCAGACGACGAATGACGCTATACCATTTTCTCTTTCTACTACACCTTCCGCCCTTCTTTTATAGAACACGGCCTATCATTCCTACTCTTATCGCGAACCGCCAACCAGTCCCTCCCACATCGAGGACCGCTCACCAGTCCTTCCCCACATTTGGTACCGCCCACTAAGATGTACCGCCTTTTGCTTAACTCCCTAATTAATCGGATCATAAACAGAACCTCGAATCAGAGCGAAAACCCTTCCAGAAAATAAAGAACGCATTTTGATTGAAGGGTACGACCAATCAAATATTCAGTTCCAGTTTTTTCAACTGTACACCCACTGATCCTGTACTTATTCTATCTATGTTCTGATTATCAGTTCCTGTAACGTTATTTCAAAACCCTTAACACTCACCTTTAGATTACCAAAAGTTAGGTAATTCGAAGTGCTTCCAGTTAGTTTTACAAAAGCTTGTTCAACACGCTTATCAATGCTCCTGTCAGACATGGATGGAGCTGTCGTGGATGTTTTCGACAACTTTGCCTTGGCTTCGGTGTTACCCATTTCCTCCGACTCGAATAAGGAAATAATATACAATGGGCTTCGTGAAAGTGCTGGAAAACCGTGTTACCTCAACTTTTCGTGGAATACACATAAAGATTGCGTGTGGAAATGACGATATCCAATAAAAAAAACTAATTACGTTATCAGATGTAAAGTGCAACTGATTATTTTCACTATCACTTTGAACTTTGCAATGTAAACTTTTTTAAAGCGGCCGCGTAGCGGAGTGTATTTAGAGCAAGGCTGCTGTGACATAAAACGGATGAATCCAAAAAAGGAAACCTTCCTCGATTATGGAATTTTTAACCCCTACATGATGTTAATGAGCAAAAGGTACAGATGTTGTTGTGTCCTACGAGCTTGGAATGAAAACCTTGAATATTCTTTAGAAGAACTTTGAAATTATCTGTGGACGTCTCATTGGGCTTGATTAACAGCTCTCCATAGCTCAACTCTGCCGATAGGGTTTATCTTTGTTCTATCCAGTCGGATCAGCACACAGTTAAGAGGAGCAGTGATCAAGCGTACTGATCTATGATTCTTCTGCATATTCCGCATTTTCGGCAGTATTTACTCAGCCTCCGGTTGCTATTTACCCATACTCAACCAAATAACTGGCCCAGAGACTTCAGTATGAAATATCCTAAGTGGATCACCTTGACGCTTGGAGGAAACACCTCATGCCATGTGGTTAAAAACGGAAAATGGAGGGGAACGGCGTTCCGCAGAGCGTGCATTGACGCGTGCGACCGCGCGACGTCGCGTTTAGTTCCGGGCATTGAAACGTTCGCTGGTGACTTTTTCTTTGTTTCACCTCTGAATGTCATGACTGAAAGGGGTTTCTGTTACAGTAATTCTCTTATTCAATCCATTTATGAATGGGTTATTCATTAACCGTTTCATTTGCGAGAGTTGTATTTATACTAAAGAAAATGTTACTCACACGAATTCAATATGTTTCAGTATTGCATTTTTACAATTGATCTACTTTACTTCAAGTGCTTTGTTTAATTGATTGAGTTAGTTTTATAGTGGGTATCATGAAATTTATTACTGCAAACTTCAAATCTTCTGCTTGAAGTGATGACATAGATCAGTTGCATGGATTACACTTTTTTATTTTTTGTTGTCCACTTACACAATGGACCCCTTATCTTTCTTTTTCTTAATCCTGGCATGAGGTTATACTTGTGAAAGTGCCATGCTGGATTAAGAAGGGGTCTTCTGGTACAGGTTGTTTTGAATATAGTCTGGCCTATGTAAGGATCGATCACATTTGGTTTGTCATCTTTCAGGCCCTGAAAAAGGCATAGGAGCTGGAAGTTCAGCTTTTAGAAGTCTGAGATCTTCTTGGGAAGGCTAAAACTAAACCACTCGCAGGTCATTTTCAGCTTATTATTTTCAATTAGAACAAGTACCCATGGTACTTTGCACCAATCCTTGAATTACATTCAGATGTGCAAGAGCCGCATGGGAAGTAGAAAGGCCGGGAGGCTAGTCTTTAATTTTGCCATGACTTACAATTAGTTGTGCTGGTACTTCTAAATATGACAGAGCTAAAAACTCCCAATAGTTCTTTGCTTTTTCAACTTTTTCATGCACTCGTAATCAGTTATTCTTGCTCACTTTCGGAGTCATCGATAGCTCATTACAGTTGTTCTGGTAGTGTCGCCTTTTCTTTTACTTTTATTTGCCATTTCGTAGCTGTTTGTTGGATGTTCATTTTCAAAAACTGTTCACATTAGACGTGGAATTGTTACAATATCGGGTATTATCAACATCCTTACTATATATAAAGCGCTCGCGTCTGTCTGTCCGTCTGTCTGTTTGTACGGAAATTCGATATCACCTGATAAAGTACCTGCAGAAGTTTTAAGCCTATGGGCGGTCGTGGACATAGAATGCATGCATAAGTATGCATTGCCCAACTGGTATATAATAGTTAAATGTCGTTTTCAGGTGGAAATGTTATGCTAGAAAGAATGAGGCGAAAACATTTCTGAGATTGGACTTGTGTAAAATCGATGCTGTTCACGGCAGCCCTAAGTTACTTTTTGATCTCATGGAGCTCGATATTTCTTCTCGACTACGTGTTGCGAATTAGAAACTTCACACCTTATGTGAATTTTGCCAATAAATACGGTCTAGAGGTAGCGCCTTTCCAGGTATGTTATAGATTTTTTTGCTTGTAATAAAAATTTTTTATGTCTTTTTGCTGACTTGGAAATAATGCTGTTCATTCACTTTTACGTGTTTTATGTATTTGTGTTTGCTCCTCCTTACAACATGTCTTTTGAGTAGTTGTGTAGCAAGTCTTGGGCACTTTTTTGAAGCTCATAAAAGCTAATTGTTCAATGGAGGAACAAACGTTTTGGGAATAAAAGAACGAGTTTGAAGTCTAGTTGACATTGTTTATTTCGATGACACTAAAGAAATTCGTAATAGATCAAGAATTATAGCGCAAATGGTTACCATACGATGATTAAGCGAGTTTGTAAGGTATCCGACAAAATATAGTGTTTGTTTAAGCTGCGGATATACACTTCTCGTTACAATGATGGAGCCTATCTTCCCGCTTCAAAAGAGGTACCTGTAAGTCGTAAGCTAAAATCGCTATGGTTCACATTCGGTGCTGTGGCGGCTCTCGTCTGTTTGATTGGAATTACCATCTACCTTTCACATCTTGTTTATCGAGGTGTGTTCTCACCTGTTTTCTTTCAGGGTACCTGTTTTTGAAATTTTTAAAATCATACTTTTGTTCTTTTCACTTTACCCCATGTTTCGTGTATGACATGTATAAAATTCTAGATACTTCTTACTTGCTGTCGCTTCGGCCTAAAGTGACACCCTATAGGTCCATCCCACATGTCGCTACGGCGCAAGCTCCGCCTGAGGTATGTGCTTATAAGATTGGAATCCTTAACTCATTTTGTCGTGCCAATGTTTTTGTTAGGATCGAACAGGAAAAGAAAGAAAAACGGGGACCCTTTTTAATATTTCTTGATCGACTCTCCCAGGTGATCGGTGATTTAAGCCCCCAATCACTAGATTTCNNNNGAATAGTTTTTTTTTTCGAGCATGTGTTGTAGTTTGCATTGAAAGAGCCTGTGCTTTTAAGCAGAATGACAATACGCTGCGCATCGCCTACGTATCGAAATAGGAAACAAGATTATGATCAGTGTTTAAGGTAAAAGTGTTGGATGATTTACCTCCATCGCCAACGGAAGAGTATGACGTGTTAGATGCATCTGGTGGATCGGAAACCGGTAAGAATTAATTCTCTTGCCTTGCATCATTTGCTTATTTGGTCATATGTCTTTAGGTCTCGTTCCAATTATTCCCGGCGTGAATCTACCATGGGGTCACATTCCGATTTTCGTAATAGTGCTGGCAGTAGCGGCAATAATACATGAGGTTTTTTCTTCATCTCTTATGGTTTTTTGCACTTCATTGTGGACGAGTATGCTAAGAGTCAGGCTACCCCTATACCTTCAAAAAATACTTCGGGATTTGCTCAACTTATTTACAAGAACATTCACTTCGAGCCGTTCTGTGTCCATATGACCTTTTCTAGCTCAGTTGATCTGTTGTACGACCTCTCATTTGTACCTTTCGCTTTACTCTATGACCTACAGTTTTTTGTGTATAATCAGCACATTTTCCTGAGGCGCTCCTTGTTTCATGTATTTTTAAGCCCGACTTCCTTGGTTCTTTTTGATCGAAATTTTCCTGCTAGCTACAACTGCTTTTTTATTTGACAAATATGCTGAATTACTCTCAGATGAGCTTATGCCGGCTCAATTTAATGACCTCGTTTGATTCTTCTCCATTTCGTCAATCCCCGTCACGCGCTTGATTGTTTAGGTAGCAGTTGAAAACAGTGGGAAATCTCGAATATCTTCAGCATTCAAGTTTGAGCAAGGGCGTTGAGGCCGAAACGGTGGCTTTACAAAACTGTTTGACCCTGAAGTTCAGCTGCCTTCCTTTATGTACTTTGCTCGATATTCTGAGAGAAATGGTAGAGTTGTTTTCGAGTTAAACCGACACACAATCCAGTCGCACTAAGAAGCTTACTATAGTTGTCTTCCCGTTTTAAACTTTGAAGCTAAGCTGTTATTCTAGTTTCCAACATTTTAGATTGGTCATTCTGCAGCGGCAACTACCTACAATGTACGCGTGAATGGTTTTGGAGTATTCTTGCTAGGGCTATATCCTGGAGCATTCACTGATATTGATCCCGAGTCTCTGAGTAGGTTTCACTTGTGGTGGCAATCATTATTTTAAAATTTTTGAGCTACTAAAAAGTGTAATTTTTTAGCCTCTACATGATGTGTGGCCCATTTCCACTCAAAAGCCTTATTCATGCTCGCATTTTTTTAAAAAATTTATCTTTATTTAAATACGGATTGTTAGCCTATAAATAAACGGACAATGAGTTCTCTGATTTGCTTGTTGAATTTGTGATACTTTAAAACTGCTTAGGAAGAAGTCATCCGCGCCATCGCCTTGAAGTCTTTGGTGGTGGAATTTGGCATAACTTAGTACTAGCTGGTATCGCTTATGTAATGTTTTTATGGACGCCCTACTTTCTTTCGCCATTTTTTGGACAAGGCCAAGGAGTAACTGTAACAGGTGATCTATTATAAAACATGATCAATAAGGCTATATATTTTACTTCTTCGTATAGCGCAGTTTAACCATTCGATTCACATTTGTTTATCCTGTTAAAAAGGACAAAGCAAAAGAACGCCGCGACATTTCAATTTCATTCTTTGACTGGTCGTCTAGTGGTATAAGTGTAAAGTTTGGAGTTAAGCTAAAGTCCTTGATAGACATTTTTATTGAAAAAGCAATTTATTTGCAAAGGCAACTACATAAAGGTGCTCCAGCCATTTTAGACACTACTGGATTTCAGATGTCGACTCTCGCTCGGGTCTTTACGGCGCTGGCGGGCTAGCAGTGGGAAATGTTGTGCTTTCAATCGATGACTGTGCCATACGAAAACACGAAGATTGGAGAGAATGTGTGCGACATTTGGAAAAGAATAAGCGAGGGCAATGTGTTCCACGTTCAGCTGTTGAAGCGTCACTGGCAACGAAGGTTTTTGCTTGAGCCTTTTCCCTATCCTTGCCCTCCATAAAACAGTGTTGATGTTTGTAGTTGTGGAACTTATGTAGAATAGGATGGTTTTACCCTTGAGGCTCGTTGTCATTGGCTTATTATAGACTTCGATGACACTAGACGAATTGCACTGTTGCGACGACTTTGCTAATATCACTCATGCTCATATGTGTTTTGAGTCGATGTTGGATGTGACTACTAAGCACGTGGTCACGCAGGCGCAGTCACTGGATCGAATACTTCGTGTTGGGATTATAGAAGTGAGCTGATTCACTTCTCGAGTTGATTTCAGACATATTTGTTTTCGAAGCAATCTTAAATTATTTGAACTTTTTTTTGCTTTTACTTATAATGAATTGTTTCAGCCTGCGCAAGAAATTGTACGTAAAAAACGGAAGAGGCAGCGACATTTTAGCTGCCTCTCTGCCCAATATGTCACTTCTCAACCTACATGCAGCAACACTTCCAGTTGTGCGGTGGTGAGTTTGTATTCTTTCTTGATTTCTGCTTATGAACTTGTCAGATGGTCGCGTGAAAGCCAAACATGTAGGCTGTGAGAGTGCATAACAAAGCCAGAGTAAATATAAACTCTCGCATTGCTGTCAGGTCATTTTTCATACCATGAGTACACGATAATTTTCATTGAGTTGAAGAGGAGATAGTTTACTTTCAAAGAACTCGGGATTGTCAGCGGTGTTGTGGTCTGTTCCCTTTGAAGTTAATGTCTAACCTTAATGAATAACCTCAGAGAACTTGTAGGACAGCTCAGAATATGGAGGGAACAAGTTGTTCATTGAAGACCAATTCGCTGTTGAAATGGACCCTCTACTCCTTAGAAATCCCATGACTCCCATTCAATGTATTTACCTCCTAATGTTTGTTTCTGTTAAGTATTTTATGCGACAGGTTTCTTAGTCTTGAAAGAGGAACGTTGTGACAAGTAGTTTTTGGAGAATCTTGGTTGTTAAGGATTTACCGATATGTTTTAGGTATTAGTGAACATGATGGCTGAAAATGCAAATTTTACTTTCAGGGTGATGGCGACGAGGAACGTGTTTGCGTATTCGCAGCTCTTTTCAATGGAACGCAACTAGCTCGAATAAATGTAAAAGATCATGTGAGGCCCGTTCTGTATGTTGGTGATCTGGATGAGGTATGTTCTTCACACAGGACATTGCAGTAAATCTTATATTTGTAATCCTTTACATCACGAAAAAACAGTTAAATGATTGTCTACCTCTCAATCCTGATAGCATCTGTAGCTTTTGTGTTTCTATCCTGTCTTCAAATTTGGTCAAATGTAGCCAAATTACTCTCTTCCTTTCACATCATCGAACCAGAATCTTTTTGAACTTGTAACTCAGTAGGAGTTTCCCGTATACTGTTTCCGACGGCAATTATCACAGTTTCATGTATTCCCTGTATTTATTTGAGTAGTGAACATAGCATTATCGCAAACAAATCTCATCTTTCAGCTAATCACCTACGTGAGAATCGATGGATTAGTGGCTCGCTTCTCGTGGGTACCACACTATTGGGCTGAGTCAGTGGAACTCGTACCAAAATATCTCTTCACACTTTCACTAGCTCTGGGCCTACTAAATAGTGTGCCTTGCTATGCTCTTGACGGGCAACATATCGTGGTCACATGTATCAACTGGGCGTGCAAGACGTTCTCGAGGCGGTGCGTTTCGATTCTGATAATTTATTTGGTTATCCATGATTGCCAAAGGGAGTATTCGAATACTTGTTCAAAATTTCATTCTTAGTGGGTTTCTGTTTTGATTTTTCTTATTAAGAGTTGATGCCTACTTCACTCTTCATCCATACTAAAGTAACACATGGTACACATGGAGGGTGGAATAGGAAATTTTAATATTGATGTTATAGGAGAATTTTGGGGAAGTCTGAGGTGGTGAACAGTGGTAGAAACATCCCACTTGATATATTTTTCTCTTTTTTATATTCTTCGCCAAGAAGTAGGAGGGGTAGAATAGGTTTTTGGCTCTCTACAATCATGGTAAATCACTGTTTATAGTGGCTGTGCCCTTTAGCAGAATTGCCAATTCTTTAAAGAAAAAAAAACAGCATCTCTCCTACTATGGAACGAATTCACCTGATTCATATGTCTTTTCCGGGCCAATGCAAGGTCTTACTTTTTTTACTAAATATACATAGTGGTTTGGAGGTGAAGCTGCTGAAATTTCCAGATATTCGTTGTTGGAACTGTTTCCTAAACTATCTTGATTGAGTAATCCGTACCACTAAGCTGCCATTAAACTAAATAAGGTTCGGGAATATCTCGTTCTGAACCACGAGACTTCGGTCTCTTGAATATAAAAGACGGTTCACAAAAAATAAATTGAGTGGGGACAATGTGGCGTGTGGAATGGGGTATAGAAGTTCTCCAGGTTTTATGATGGAACTCATTATTCAGGCATCGTCAGCAACTAATTACAATAATCTTATCGCTGGGGACACTATTGCTGGCTGCCAATGTTGTCATCGGTTTTGTAAAGATGGCGATTTAGATTTATTTTCCGTTTTTGTGCTGTATTAAAAGAATTAAGAAGAATTTATTGCCATTGTGATAGTATTCTATTGACTCCCTTCCGAGTCATTGTTTCCATTTGAAATGCGTTGGTATTTTAGCAGACATTTCATATAATAGTATAGTTGATTAAATAGTGCCTCTATATTGTGAAATATGATTATGAATAGTCGTAAGATGAGGGAGAACTCTCGAATTCCTCAGTTGTATTGTATGGTATTGTCCAGAAGTGCTTGAATCTAAACGCACCATAAGATTCTGAACTAAATTTCGCAACTCATATATGTGGCGCTTTCCTTCTAAGTCCTGTCCCTACATGTTTGTGGGAATTTGTAAGACTATTGGATTCTTGAATATCTATCACCTCATCTGTAATATCTTAATCGTCTAAAGTATGACTTAAGCCCATAAGTGAATTTCGAAAGCGCTATTTCAGTGCGTTTATACTTACTATCATTCTCTCGAAGTGTAATAGTTTTATAAGCGTGTACATGTCTGACAGTGTTAGGTTCAATCTGTGCATTCGGGTTTGGATTTCCATATATGTATGACTTACTATAATCCAGTGCTTCTGCTGAATCTGTCCACGTTTTGTCGACTTTATACGACTTCTATTTTGCCTATTTATTAGGTTTCATTGTGCATGGTAGTTTCCTAATAAAATCCAGGATCATCTCTGTTGTACACTAAACGGTGTTTCGTTTACGAAGTCATAGTTAGTTCACTGATATAGTAAACAGAAACGAAGATTCGGTACGGGCACTCGGCTCTCAAAGTAACCTCCTAGCTCCTCCACCAAACCGGGTCCTTGCCCAAGGCCCCTTTTGGCGCGTCGTATATGTGACGGGTGACAATTTGCGAAGTAGAACAAGCTATGGATGAGAAAGTACTTCTTTCCTAGGTGTCCACAAGTCCTATCCGCTTGATTGACATTTACAATGGACGCTGAGGAGGCTCAGGATACTTGAGCTAACTCATTGTGAAGGGTATCATAGTGAAAAGTACTAGAGCACACTTGCTCAGCACAACGATGCAGATCCCGATTTCTGGTGTACGGTATTGAGAAGTCTGCAAGTGAACCACGATTTGACCATTCTCAAATTTAGGATTTACGAATTTCATTGCCTTCACGTTTTTTTTNNNNTTTTTTTTCTAGTGCTCTGGTCCTCGCATGTTTCATGATTTACTAGGATGCATACACTTGGTGAGGTTGTTTTTTGCCTTTTCGGTACGGTTTTCTCTATACGGTCGAGCTAGGTAGAACTCTCTGTGCAGTGCAACATTTGCATCAGAATAAATTTTTCTTGAGGAATGAGACGAATACGACCTGTCAGGATACTTACCTTAATACATAGCAGTCCTCTTTGCTTGGAGTGATGAGAACTCGGTAGCTGCTGCCAGAGGCTACTTCCACTGTGAGTTCTTGCTTCCCGAAAGACCTTAAGACGATCAAAGACGAGTTTACGTTGCTTTTTGACAGATAGGAGGTGGACACAGACCAAAGAGAGAAACGAGCTTACCTCGACTAGTCACTTGAGGACCTTTCAGTTTACAGTGGTAAAATGCGTACTGACGCATAACTTTTTTGGAAAAAGGGGAGATATTGTCCCGGGCAAAACATGGACAGCCCTAAAGAGACAGCCCAAGCCTCCACAAACGCAGTGACAGCGCCAGACTTTGACTAATCTGACTGCGATGAGAGGGCGGTGGCCAGTAGATGTAGAACGACTTCGAGACTTTGTAGTGACTAAATGCAGCCGGTAGGGGGAACGAACTAGGCCAGCTCGTCGTGCCAGGACCCTTACTCCTCAATGAACATGTAAGGTACGGTCCTAACACGATTAAACACATTAGTTTGGTCTTTACGATGGCGGTAACTTTTAAAAACCTGTACAATGCAGTTATCCTTGGTTGGCCCAGGTGGACGTGCTGGCACAACTGGCTGCTTTCAGACCTCAACGATTCATCCGTCCGTCCGTCCGTCCGTTCAGCGCGTGCCGCGACGGCGGCGCCTGACCGTTGTCGACACACTGAATCACTTGCCAGCGCTGTCAACACTACTCTAGCGACCGCCGTCGCAGCACGCGCTGAACGGACGGACGG